AGAGATTAGAGAATTTTTGTAACGAGAAAATTAGGTTCATATTTTTCCTTACATGATTATCTTTAGGTATTTTGCTAATCCTATGAGATTGAAGATTTCGTTCCAATAATTACTAGTGAAAAAACAAGTTGTAATTTTTTGTAAAAAATCGTTCAAGGCCGCATTACATTTTTGATGACTTTTTTTAAATAACTAGCTACTCTCACGCGGTTTCACCCGCTGCTCGGCTCCGTTTGATTGTAGCGTGATATTTTATAGCCTATAGTAATCAGGAACATGTAGCTACCTATCAGTGAAAGAATTGTGGCAATCCGACCAGCGGTTTCAAACATTACCCCCTACATACAAACATACAAACTGACAAATTTTACCTCTATAATATTAGTATACATTGATATTAGTTGTGATTTAATTGGTTATATTGCAAATGTTGACAATAATAATTGTTATGAGTTTAATTTCAGTGTCGAATAGAATTTGTAGATTGTTTGATTTTGAATTGAATCCAGTGCTTTATCACTTATATAGATATTTATTACCATGTTATCATACTATAGAAACTAGGAAACTTACAAAAAATACCTCTTTATTATATTAGTATAGTGTTGTATGATTATGACTGAAAACATAAACAAACCGAAGTGAAGAACTAACTATTAGCCGCCTCCATAATTGAATTACCGTCCCAAATCAAAGTCCCTATATCGTCCCACTTCCATTTAAGATCCAGACGAAATCTCGAGTTGCGCGTGCACACGAGATGACACGGTACAAGGTCAACATTCTATAGATCTAAATTAAGTCAGTGACGCATGCGCCTGAGTTGAACGAACGAACTTAGGTGCGGTGCAGACGAGCGATGCTTATTGCAACTGTTTTTGTTTGTTTAATTTTGGTGGATGGTTATTTTTGTGATTATTTTTTAAATAATTTGATGCTATGTTTATCTTTATCTTCTTTTTATGGCTATTATCTAGCCTGGTAGTAAGCAATGGGCCAACCCATATGCCATCTTTTCGCTCGGACCATAAAGACACCAAGGTTATACGATCCCCTTTATAGAACACTGAATCTAGCAAATAATTCCTTAGCGGTTTTGATGAAAAACCTTGACGATTTTCTCGATTGCTATCTTCGAGAAGAAAGTACAAATCAAGAATTTTTTAAATCGGCTTAATGTTAATGATCAAGCGTAAAAAAATGTCGAATTTAAGTCAAATCCTGCCTGTCTACTTGAAGAAAGACACTAAGAAAAGTCAAAAAGTCAGTTACAGAAAAATGCAATTTTAAAAACTTAGTGGCCTACATTTTGGCGTTAAAGTTGCTCGTCTGAACACAACATTAAATCCAACTCAGCAATTTATAAGGAAAATATTGTTCAGATATTGAATGTTTAGATCCAGATTTATTTATATTTAGTTTGCTAGTCGTTAATAAATATTTCGGTTTGAATTTACTTTATGATTGGAGCAGTAACTAGCTAACTGACTGCATTACATACTTCTTTTTCTTTTAAGAGGGGGGAAAATCATCAAATGACTTCTGTCGCCCATGGTAAGGCCAGAGGGAGTGTCAAACCACAACGTTACTTTTCCTTCTCCAAGCCGAGGCCGCAGCGCCTTATTGTATTTGACCCACAACCCCAGAAATTCTTTTTACCTAATTTGCTGATTCGGTTGTATCTATGTATATCCGAAGGTCCAATCCTTTCCCTCCCCAATCCCTAAATCTCCCAAATCCCTAACCCCCAAAGGTCGGCAACGTATTCGCAATTCCTCCGTTGTTGCGGGTGTGTATGGGCGGCAGAATGCTTACCACCAGGTAATCCCTCGGCTCGTTTGCCGACCTATCAAAAAACAAGAAAAAAACCCCAAAAAAAACCCAACGAGAAGAACAGACGTACTAAACAACACTACATACACTGAAGTAAACTCGTCGAAGCCTTCATCCAATTTGGACATTGACAAATAACCGTCAATTAACTTCAATGAATTTACAAACTAAAAAAAAAACAATACTTATTTGGTTCAACTCAACACGTGGATACAAGACCTCATGTTCAATTAATTTAGACGTTAATTAATTTTAATTAAAATACACAAACGTAAACATCTAAGGAGGAAACCCACAATTCTAATTAATAATTAATCAAGGTATTTATTTGTAATTTATTAAGCAAATGATATTTGCTTATAATAAATAGACTCAACAAGTATGGGAGAGGCTAGCTTCGGGACGAATGGGTCGGCTCGACCGGTGTGATACCACGGCCTCACAGAAAACAGCGTGAAACATCCACAGCGTTATGTTTCACCAAGTGAGTGAGGTTAGCGGAGGCCCAATCCCTAAATCTCCAAGTCCCCAAATGGACACGTAGTTCTTCCGTTGTTGCGGGTATCCATCTATTGCTTACTTACCATCAGGTAATCCGTCTGCTCATTTGCCGTACTATCACTTAAAAAAAATACTATATTATATTTTAAATGCGAGCAACCCGGTATAGCTTTCGTCTGGTTACTATCACCATTTTGTCTAAATTCATCAAGGGCGCCATCTACTAACGCGATATCTCTGTACTAACTAAAAACTTAAAACACTATCACAAATCTACTTTCATACGTAACAACCATTGAATGATTTCTTCTGTAAAGAAATCGCTAATCGAACAGTAATGTCTTAAGTATTAAACAAATATACAAAACAATAAATATATTCGTTCGTCATATAAACATTGTGATTGGTACAAGTGTACAGTTGAAGCGATATAGAGTACTTACAGATACTTCCTACGAATATTATAAAAAAACTACTCGCACGCAGTTCCAACCCGCTGGTCGACTCCTATAAGTCTTAGCGTGATGTTTTATAGCCTTCCTCGATAAAAGGACTATCTAACCCAAAACCAATTGTTCAATTTGAACCAGTAGTTCCGAAGATTAGCTCGTTCAAACAAACAAACAAACAAACTCTACAGCTTTATAATAGTAAAAAATAATATAGTATAGCTCTGAAAGTTTGTGAGAATGTATTGAGGTTTGTATGTTTGTTATTTTTTCACGCAAAAACGGTGTCCACTACAACTAGTGGTCCATATTTATAGGCTCGAATGAGCATTCACCGCCCTTCTGGTTTACGTGGGTAGGTATCATGAAAGTCTTTTTAAAGGACTAGACGATGACGCCCTCTATAATATCTCGCGTAACCTTTTGCGAACTGATTGAAAAAGAGTACCTAACCATGAAGTTGCTTACTCTTTCTTCTCCATAGAAATCTATATTTTGGAACGATCAAATAGCTTCACTACCACTCAATAATAATAATTAAGTAATTTTATAAGTGTAACGAATATTAAAGTAAACATTTTTATTTCAACTGCAAATTCTAATCGTAGTTTTAAACTAATCTGTGTAAGTTCCAGTAGTTCGGAGGTTTTGAGAACTTCTTTTGATATAAAGAAGGATCCAGTTCAGCTTTGGGATAACTCGGACATTCAATGATGAATTTACATACGAACACTGTAACACTAACAAAATGAACTTCAAAATAAACACCATTGTAACTAAATGAAACACTACAACATATCTGACCTTCGACCTTTAAACTTCGGCCTTGAGTGTCCTTCACGACTGATTAGTCGCACTTCAGTCAAAGTTAACAAGATTTGTCGCCGTTACGTCAACGAGAGGTGCCTGAGCGAACTACATGAGGTTATAATAGCAGTTTTAAACTGTTTTTCTTTAGTCTTACTGGGACTTTTAATTCATCAAACTCAAGCAAACGCTGGTGTTCGCTCATCTATTGTGTCTCTAATTACCGCGATTGAAAGGCTAGATATTCCTTTTTTCTTTTCAACAAAAAGAAGGCCGAGGGAGATGTTACGCTTAGGTATTCCTAAAAGATGCAATAAGGCCTAAGTCTAAAGTGCAGGAGTTAAGTTCATGCAGATACTACATCGTTTTTTATTTATTGTTGCATCTGTAGGTATATGTTCAAATCTGCCTTTAAGTGACGTCACGTTACGAAAACGTCAGGGTTGCGGGATCAAGCACAATGAAAAAACTGCAGTCTGACCCTGAGAGGAAGGAACAAGGTGGTTTTTAGTCAGTAAGCGTCCTGCATTCCTTCAGAAGAAAGCCCTCTTCTGAAGGAATGTAGGACGCTTAAGAAGAAATTGAATGAATTTAAACCTCAAAAAGAAATATTTCTGACGTATTATGTCTAAAGGCAATCTCTCATGTCTTATCCCTTGTACCGCAGCAGTTGCTCCAGTTCTTAAGATGTTTTCGCTTAAATGAAAGTGATCTCCAATCTTAAACGTCGCGGTCGGTCGCCCGTGCGGTGCTGGTATTGATAAAGTTTTTTTTTTGCAAAATAACCGTTTTTTTGTCTCCCGCCTGTCTGCAAGATGGCGTCGGAATGCGCAGATTGCGATGAAAGTTTTTAATATTTTATTAGCCGCACGAATTCGAATCTGATATCTGTTTTATTTAGTCTATGTTGAATTTTAATCGTATGCTTCCCCATAAGATTGTACTAAGATATAAATTATAACAGTCATACAAACATTTTTTTTCTATATTTGACGTCGTTGTTGTTTAAAATTGAATTATTTTGGTCATTGCTCCCTAAGTACGTAAATAGTTCTGCTCCTTGTGGGTGTCGTGACAGAAATAGACTGTTTTTGCCGCACTTTTCCTGTTGATTTACTGCTGTTGTATTATCCTGTAAACCGCTTCTTTATTGAAAATATATATTTCCGTTAAATTAAGCTCGTGGCTTAGTTATAATCTGCACGTCGATTTAAAAGATGATGTTTGAAGACCATAGAGCAACACAGGCCACCGGCGGACTAGACTATGTTTTGCTCTATGTTGACGACTTGTAAAGTTCATTCTAAAAAGTATGTCCTCTGAAATACAACCTCCTTAAACGACTGGCCCAAAAGTAAACGAGCACGTGCAAAAAACTACCACAGCTCACGTCAAAAATGACAACACCATCAAAAACTTTTAAATCCTATTATAGATTATAATGTACAAATTCTGAACCCTCAATAAGTATGGACGGGGAGGAGATTAGCCATATGGAAGTTAGCTACAAGGTACTCCAGGATCACATAAATAAGTTGACAGAAAATCAGACGAATATCATTAACAAATTCGAAGTCCTTAACAAGAATGTTGACGAACTCAGAAAAACTTTGGCACAGTTTTCTGAGAAGATCGTTACGTTGGAAGAAGTGTCGACGGATCGTAAAAAGCTTAAGATAGAAATCAAAATCTTGAAGAACAGAATAGATGAGTTGTATGCTATTGTTAAAGAAGGGAAGGAAGACGATTCCCTTCCCAGTCCTGACGCTCAAGATGTGGAGTCTTGCCATTCAGGCCTCTCCTGCTCTTCAAAGGTATTCAGATTAATAAACTTCTTTTGAGGAAGAATATACTCCATTCTTAGTTGTTCAGATTACTAGTAGGTACTTTATTATGAGTATTAAGACTTAAGGTCTAATTTAATCGACCTATTTGTGCCCACTGATAGACATAGACCGAGACATTCTGGGATATTTATTTAATGGTATTATAACCAGGTGAAATTCGTACTTCAAAATACTTATACCTACTTTTGTAGTTATTCGAATGCAGTAGTAGTTCCTTAGATTAGCGCGTTCAAACAAAATACAACAGCTACAGCTTTTCCATATTTATAATATGGAACCTTACTAGCGCCCGCGACATCGTCCGCAAAACTTAATAAATTCTACACTTAAACCTTCCTCTTGAATCATAAACTGCATCAAAATCTGTCACATATTTTTGAAGATCTAATCATACCTACATAGGGACAGACAGCGGGAAACAACTTGTTTTATTTTATACTATAGTGATAGTGATAATAAATAGAAAACAAAAACTTTGGAATGATCTTACGGCGGCGGTATTCCCGAACAGATACGACCTTCAAGAAACGAGCGTGGAGTACGCTCGTTTCTAATTCTTAAACGGCCGTCAACGCACCTGTGACTCTTCTGGTCTTGCAGGTGTCCATTCGCGGCGCTGATCACTTACCATCAGGTGATCCATCTGCTCTATTGTCTCCTATTGCATAAAAAATATAAAATAGTGGACAAACATTTTGCTAAAGCAAAAAGTGTGGGAGAGCCATGCTTCGGCACGAATGGGTCGGCTAGACCGGAGTGATACCTCGGCCTCACAGAAAACCGGCGTGGAACAACCATAGCGTCCTTCCAAATCCCAAAATCTCCAAATCACTAATCCCCAAAAGGCCGACAACGCACTCCTAACCTCTCTGTTGTTGCGGTTGTCCATGGGCGGCGCTGATTGCTTACCATCAATTAATCCGTCTGCTCGTTTGCCGACGTATCACGTAAAATAGGCAAGAATGTAGAATAAGCCAACATAGGTAATTGAGTCTGCGTAAAAAAGTAATGATGGAATGTTTTCACTGATCAGTGTCTGTCTCATGACAAAGAGCGAAGAACGAGCAGGTATCACGTTTCTAAATAATTACTTGCCTAAGATAAATTGATTCAATACATCGATTAGAAGTACTGAATGTCATTTTTTGTCAGTGATCAGTGTTCAATCAATGGATATAAATTTTTGTAACCAAGTGATTTCCTGCAGATATTTGATATAAAAAAGTATCCCATGTCCTTTCTGGAGTTCCAAACTATGTCTGTACCAAGTATCACAGAAAGGTTCAGTAGTTTAAGCGTGTAGAAAAGACAGACAGACAGAGTCTTTCGCATTTCTAATATTACTTTGGATAAGGAATGCAATGTATGTTAGAATCATCAGTCCTAACTAATTTTTAAAAGATTTAACTAAATTTTAAAAATAATTTCATCTTACTTAATTAGATTATCTATTATTTATTTATTTTCCTAATAAGTTTTGGTGGCCCGGAGTTTAAGGTCAAGGCCCGCTTCTCTTAAATGCGAAAGTGACTTTTGCCGAGTTTTTCAAAGATAATTTAGATACCACTGGTGTGGACGAAAACATTGTGAGGGAACCTTTTTTCTAATCAAAAGTTTGAAATCGCCAATTTGTCCTGAGCAAGCGTGGTGATTAATGCTCAAACCTTCTCCGTGTGGAGAGTGGGACACTCAAAGGTTGATGATAATGATATTTAAATAAAAAAACCGTATAGGTACGTGCTTTTTATTCTTCATACTTTTTTAATTTCCAATAATAAATAAAAAAATATTAATGTTTCGCTTACCAAATTACTACTTTCAAAGAAAATCAATAGATAAATCAATTAGTAACTCAGCAACCGGAGCATCGTCTAGCCGCCCGGTAGACGTGCAATAAAAGAAAAAACAGAAAAAAATATCTAGATCTATCTGCTTGCGATTTCGCTGAAACTAATTTCGGTTATAATTGGATTATTACAAAACGTAATTATGTCATCAGTTGAGCGTTATGAAAAGTCTTAGATAAGAATCTTACCTGTATAATTGGAAATTCGACGCGGTGGTTCCGTACTGTCGAAAATTTTGAATAAACTGAGAGACTGCGTGACGTTGCCTCGACGCGTACGCTGCTGATTATTAAGAGTCCCGTTGTGCCTTGTAACCAATGATATTATTCGATTTTCAAAAACGGGACACATGAATAAATCGTATGATACACGTTAAAGTGAGATGGCATGATTCAATAATCGCGAGTTAAAAAGAGACAATATGAAAAAGTGTGGCTAGTAAGCCACATTTTAATGTATCACTTGCTGAGCGCTTGTAACCTATCTACACCTTTTTACTTATAATATCATTGCTTGAAACTAGTAGCTATTCTCTGACTATTCGCGTGAATATGTTGTCATCTTCAATAAATTTAACGTCCCACGGCATTAACTATACTGTATGAGACGTTATGTTCAATCGTCTCAGCAAAATAGTCAAAATCGGTTCAGTCGTGACCACTATTAGTGTAGTAAAAATTACATTATAAACTTTGATTTACGATATAATATTAACAGGTACATCCAATGCATTTAAAATTAAAAAGGTTTTGTCAAAATCGCCACGCTAGGCTGGTAAATGCATTAGCCGGGGTTGCGGGGTAAGCGCAATGAGGCACCGCGACCTCGGCCCAGAGCAGGACAAGGAACGGGGGGTTTTTAGTCAGTAAGAGTCTGACACTCTCTCTCGCCTTACCCTGGGCGGGAGAAGTCATTGGATGATTTTCCCCTGACAAAAAAAGGCTGGTAAATGCAGTTTCAAATCGCCCTTTCTGGGAAACCCACCGCACCCGCAAACATACAAATAAAACAGTTTATTTTTCCAACAACGATCTTCAGCCAGAGCGAGTACAAGTATCTACAAGGTACAAGGGTACTGATATTTGGTTTGGTCTTTTAAATGTTCTCTACGCACAAACCTCTGAACTTCCACGAATAATTCAAGACCAAAATTAGCCAAATCGGTAAAGGCATTGTTGAGTTACAAGTATAACATTACAACGAAGGTGGCATTAATCTTTATAAAGGTATAATATGGTATCTCCATCTTTCCGCAGAACTCTAAAAAGTCTTGCGAATTTCGGCATCCACTCGCTGACGCTGATAGGTACACTGTCTATGGACCTTTTTTGTTTTTATTTGCAGGAAAAGTTTCTATTGTGAAGCGTTTTAGCTAGATTGCAGAAAATGGTAGCGTGGGTGTTTGCGGATATTGTGGGATTTCCATTTAGGCATTAACTACGTCCTGTGTCTTTGAAATGTTTTCCTAGTTTCTTTGCTTTTTAGTTTTAATGATAAATTACGGTTATTATTGGTACAAGTAGGCTTTTATGAGGGGGTAAAATCATCAGTTGCCTTCCCCGGCCCTGGGTGGGGCTAGTTGGAGTGTCAGAGTCTTACTGACAAAAAACCACCCCGCTCCTTTCCCTGCCGCAACCCTGGCCGCGTTACATCTGGTACAACTGTACAAGGGGGTTACGCAATCTACAGTCGAACAAATATCCACAAAGGCCACTTATTTTACCTACTATTATTATTTATCTAAATTCATTTCTTGGAAGTAAAGTCATGGACATTGATTCATTTTATTTAGCGTGTATTTTCTATACTTTATACCCAACCTACAACAAAACACGTACATACCTAAGTACTTATATTAGGTAGGTACTTATTTTTCCAGCCCGGGTTTCGGAAGTAAGCGCGGTAATGTACCGCGGCCGCGGCTCCGGCCCTAGCAGGTGAAGGATAGGAATGGGTTTTAGTCAGTAGTGGTCTCCGATATTTTTTTATCGAGGGCGGGAAAAGTTTCAATAATTAGATATGTTTACGCCCTTCAAAAAAGTCACTTATGTTTGGACTTTTATTGAAGATATCACTGTCTTTATTATTCGTATATTTCTCTCTAAGTAGACATTTGGATTTCGGTTCTGTACCGGTAGATGGATTAACCAAATCTAATTAAGACTAAGCGAAAACTAATCACGAACGCAAAAACTTCTAGGAAGTTAATACCGAACAACCAAAGCACACACCTTGTGACATTTATATATGTAAAATAAAAATTGAATAGAATGTTTAAAAACTGAACCCGTGATTGAAAATCGAACGGTTTACTTTCAGTGACAAATATAACGTAGTGTTTTTGAGAACTTGTAAGTAATTTGTCTATATGTTTGTTTGTTTCAGGTGACAATGACCACTGGACTGGACAGGGATACGATACGGGCCGCCTACGAAGACGTCCGCTCTGACACTACACCGACTGAGTGGTGAGATATACTTCTATCTTTCTTTTTCCTTTTAACCTTAACTTTTTTACGGTAAAGGTCGGCAAACGAGCAGACGGAATTCCTAATGGTAAGCAACAAGCGCCGTCCAAGTACACACGCAATACCAAAGGAGTTACGAGTGCGTAGCCGGCCTTTTTGGGATAAGGGTTTCGGATATTTAAGGATTGGGAAGGGAAAGGGGAAGAGGAGGGATTGGGCCTTCGGTAACCTCACTCACACGGCGAAACACAACTCTGTGGTTGTTTCAGGCTGATTGTCTGTGACGCCGTGATATCAATCTGGTCGATCCATTTGTACCGAAGCTTGAATCTTCAACACTTACTCTAAACATTACCATATTGTTAATCAGGGCGGTGTTCAAATTCGACGGCGCCCGCATCGTGTGCTCAGCGCGCGGCTCCGACTTTACGGAGTTTCGCACCCAGTTCTCCGATGACGATCGTGCCTTCGGATATCTCAGGTTTGTGGCATCATATTTACCCTATACCTACACTTTAATTATGATACCTACTTACTAAAAAGGGGGTAAAAAAATATGATTTTCAACAGGCTAAATTCAGAAGTAAGGGTCGATCTACACCCCTCATGATAATTTTATACCGACGTCAAAAGTCCATGGAATTTAATGCCCTATTATTTGACGCCTTCCGAAATTATGTAGGTGGGGTAATTAGTGTGATTTGATCGATGCAACCTTCATACTCTTTCACTATTGAAAACCATAGAGACCAAACAGACGGTTGTGGACCTTGCAGAGAGTAGCCAATTTTTACCCCGATAATAATTCAAAAATGGAACTTATTCAAGATACCAAAATCTTCTAAATTCCATAAGTAAATCTTAAACAAAACGAACCACACTAAAGTAGTAGTACATATTCATACCTAATAAAATGAAAGTAATATGCAAATAGCAGTTTCATTATAACTTACCTACTGAAAACCTTTCAATAGGCTACCTCAGAGCTGAATTTACGCTGCGGCCTAATTAGGCAATGGGCAGCATTTAAGTAGGTACCTAAGAGATGAGGCAAGTGGACGAACATTTGTATCGCTTAGTGACTGACTCGCCGTGCATGACGATACTTGTGACACAATCGTAGAGGATATTGCATTCAGACTGGACATTCTTTAACAACAACCCGTATTAATATGCTGTGACAATCTTGCTTAGACTATGGGTTTTTGTTTAATAAGAGGGTTTTTTATGTAATAGGTCGGCAAACGAGCAGACGGATTACCTGATGGTAAGCAATCAGCGCCGCCCATAGACACCCGTAACGAAGGAGTTACGAGTGCGTTGCCGACCTTTTAGGGATTAGGGATTTGGAGATTTAGGAACTGGGGAGGGATTGGGAAGGGATTGGGAAGGGATTGGGCCTCCGGTAACCTCACTCACACGGCGAAACACAACACTGTGGTTGTTTCACGCCGGTTTTCTGTGAGTTTGACATAACTGCCCTTTTTATATTCATGATAAGCAAGTCAGTTTAAAAGGTTGCCTTAAAGAGCAAAAAGACCTCCACAAATAAGGCTCAATAAGGCTGATATTCAGCCGGGGTTGCTGGGCAAGTAGGTACCGCGTCTTCAGCGTAAAGCAGAAGAAGGAACAGGGGGGCTCTTTAGCTAGTAAGAGTCTGACACTCCCCACTACATATCATTTGATTTTCACCATCAAAAAAGGTTAACTACAGGTAACCTGTGCAGGTAAATTGTCATCATTGGTTAAAGAGCTGAAGATGTATCTAGACGATACTAAACGAATAAATTTCCTGCAGGTTGCAAATGGGCGATGAGATGTCGAAACGTAAGAAGTTCTTGTTCGTGACGTGGGTGGGGCCCAACGTGTCCGTCATCAACCGCGCCAAGATGTCCACCGACAAAGCCATCATTAAAGACATCATCTCTGTAAGTACTATTATTATAATAAGGACTATGTTGGGAACACATATTTGTTAAACCATCCGGTCTTCACAAGCTTCCCATGGGTGACCAATAAACAGGTAGGTCGGTAGGTTGTCAATGGTCTGCTAGTTGTAAACGTAAAAGAACGTAAAACGTAAAAGAAACTAAATAGATTTTGATGACAATTGACACAGTTACCTATATGAGGTCTAGATATTAAATTGCATATTATTAGTAGAATAAAGTGTCCGTCTATCTTTCTCTGCCTCAAGAATAATGACAGTAAAGTCAAGTGAAGTAACTCATTTAATAAAAGTATTATGAATAATTCCACTATCTAGTTATTAGATTAGGCAGGTAATAAGCTTATTACTATACTTAAAGTATACAATAATAATTGAAGCAAATATAAAACAATACCACTTTCATAGATTATAGAACCAAGTATGGTCACAAAGAGCTAAAGAAAAGATGGGATCAATAAAAATGGCGGGCAATTTGACAGATTAGCTCAATTCGCAAAGCCCTTGAACGATTCATTGGCAAATGAGTTCGAGTCATTGCCGCAAATTGTTTTGCCAATAAATTTAATGTAAATCGTCATGATTCATAAAACGGGAATAATTGGGATTGGCAATATGTGGCATTGTCATTGGCAGAGAGGTTGATGAAAATGAGTAATATGTTAAATGTGTAACTGAAATTTTTAGTATGGATTATAAAATTATTAATGCTGCTGTTAAAAACGCTATTTGATTTATAAACAACTTCCAAAAGCAATGGTTCAGAACACAGTAATTATTTTAGAGAGGCAATTACAAAGAACACATAATAGAATAATCAAAAATTGTATATTCAAAATGCAATAAATAAATACAAAATAATAAAAAACCAGATCACATGAAATCATACAAATACTTTCTGACATTGAAGCCCACAGTTTGAGCGACCGCAGAAATAAAATCGTAACCAACAATACATTTGTATTTAGCTGTGTCTAAATCTATTTCTTTACTGCCGGCAATAAGTTTCAATTCAACTAAAGTAGCTATTTGGGCCAGTAAATTGCTTGTGAGACCGATTTTCTCCTCCAAAATGGCATAAAATATGGCTAGTAAGCGATCCAAAGTGAAGACTTTGGGTCCCAATTGTGTGTTAAGTTTCTCTGTTATCTTGGCTTTTGCTCTCACTTGCTGCAGCCGTTTTCTCTGCTTTCCATGGTTCTTCATGAACAATCTCTTGTCCTCTTTCGGTGGGTTATAGCTAGCTAAATAGGCAGCGATAAGTAAGAATTTTGCATAGTATGGCAGCTCAAAGCTCTGTGCAAATGTTTTTGTTGATGTCAACTCCTCTTTTAAGGTGTTCTCAAAGTTATGATTTGGTATGCCCTCTGCATCACTGTTCTCCTTCCCTGGTGATGGATTTACAGGCTTAGAGTTACTAATACGTAGGTACAGGAGCTCTAAACTTGACTTAAGTATTGGAGAGATGTGTCGCCATAGTTTTGATAAGTCAGTAGCATTGATCTCATTCTTGATTATAGGCTCACAGTATTTTATGAAGTTGACGCATGCCATATGCTGCAATTCAATCAGATCGCGACACGGTCTATAAAATACGCTTAAAAATGCGTTGAGAAAGTTTGCAAACAATTCTGGTTTTTCTAATTCCTCTCTGATATCGTCATCAACTTCGTGGGTTATTAATAAATTGTTTATAAAGCTCTTTTGATGAAGGAAAATAATTTTGAAGAGCTCCTCTTTGTTATAGTTCGGGAAATATAGCTTGATGGGCTCGCGTACACCCATTTTGAAGTAGAAATTTTCGTAAACCAAATGTGTGATGAATATTGTACATACATTAAGATCACACAGCTCTCGTAATCTTAAGAACGCGCTCATTATGTTATGGTCCATGGTACGTAGCCGCTCTGCTCTGTCGAACACTATTACGACCGGATTATTACCAATTGTGGCCTCTTGTAATCTATTCAAATTGTTGGTTAGATCCATCAATGTTTCACATTTAACTTCGATTTCCTCATCATCTAACCCCGACAGAATACCCTCGTACATAATTTTAGGTGTATAACATTCGATACAGTCAATAACAACATGTTTATAATTTAAATTCCGTAGTACTGAGTTCACGCATAAAGTTTTTCCTGTAGCCATACTGCCGCTGATAAATATAGAACAAGGCAAACATTCGTCGCCTTCGCCAAGAAGATTAAACAAGTCGTTCAACTGTTCCTCTCTGCACGGCACTTTGTTTTGTAATTCTTCCATTTTTAAGTAACTTTTTCCAATTTTTGTAAACAACCTCGGAGGTATCCACTTTCGATTTGATTTTGACAGTTTGATGTTTTGGCGGTTCGGTTGACGTTTGTGTTAACGTTCCGTTTTCCATGAGTTTGTGAGCATGTTGTGCGCGGTCTCAATACGTTGATATTACGCACATTTCTAAATATTTCAGAAATCAATAATAATAATGTTACCCGAAGCTGCTTTTGCTTTATGATTAAAAATGTTTATTTTACTGTTACAGAATTTTGCAGTGGAGTTACAATTGGAAAATCAATCCGAAATAGACATCGATCAATTCAAGGACGCTCTGAATAGGGCGGGAGGAGCAAACTACGGTACAGGGGTCAGGGATTTATGAATTGCACAATAAAATAACCGCCTACGTTCTAAAAACATATCAGTACTTTGATTTTAAGAGCCATTCTATCATTTTCATGAACATGTAAAATGTTATTGAAAAATAATTTAGGATAGCTAATTAAAATCAAAGTTATGGTAATTTTTGTATTAATTAGGCCATCATCGGGCCAAAACTGTTTTTCTATAAGTAGGTACGTGCTTTTATTTTTAAATTTTTATACTAGTGTGATTCAGTTCTGCATTGATCATTTTATGCTGTTTCGAACGTAAAAATGTCTATTTTTTTTTTTTACAAAATTGATATTCGAACTTATATTTTATTTAGTGAAATTGTAAAATTTCTATAATTTATTTTTTTAAAGTCATTGTGCAATTTATACTCGTAAATGTAACGTAAGGATTTGCCAAAAATCTTAAGTGAATGTTGCCATGTATAGGGCGCGTTAAGTGCATTTATTTTTTTGTCTACCTGTATTTTACTGTGACGAAATTTTACAATGTATTGTATACAAAAGTATTTGGATTTTAAACTGGCTTTTATATACATTGTCTAGTGTTATACCCAGCATTATTGGTAAACGAATTGAAGTAAATACAATAAACATTAACCAAGACTATAGTTGTTTTATTTTATTACTGCATGTTTCCTTCAGGACAAATACAGAGGGCCGAATGTATTTTTACGATAACTAAAATGAAATTGGGCACTACCCATTCAGAAAAGTAAACCACAACATAATATATTGCTAATTTAGAAGCTAAGAAGTATTTTCGAATATACTTTTCAGTTTCCATGCCAAAATAAAATTAAGAACGGTAAGCAGAGTCCACAGACAGGTTCAGTCTTCTAAAAAGCTAGGCAGGGATGATGGTTCATAAATACCCATACAAAAACTCAAATTTTTAATTCAAATACAACTTTATTTCGAAAAATTAAACACTTTCGCTTATGGAATACAGAAAAAATTAAATGATTCAGTTTCGAAATGAATAAAAAATCTAAAATCTAGATTTATTATTGCATTCGAGACTATTCGTTTACATGTTACAATATAAAAATATTATGGCTTATGTTTTGGCTATGACGAACACATTGAACTTATTGCTAATATTACATCTTATAGCATTTTGTTAGATTTAGCTTCTTATAGTGGACTTATCATGCAACTGTGTAATATATACTCTTAAGAAACGTGTCGGATAGAAATGCGACTCAAAAAGAACTGTTTTTTATATACTATGGTAGTAATGGGGTTTTTTGGTACAGGCTTCCTGTTGGAAATAACTTTCTGTATAATCTATGCACCTACGATTCAACCGCCAGACGAGAGAGTTTGTTTTGTGTAGAGCCTCCATAAAACCCTAGATTTTTTACCAATTTCACATTGTCTGGACTTGAAAAGAGACGGACCTCTGAATTTGTTTCGGCATATTTTCTCAGAGTAGTCAGATAGGAAATGCTGGCTTCATCTAGCTTTTGTACATATAATTTTGACGTGTAAACATGCTGTTTTATGGCCTTTTACAAAAATAAATTCATTGTTTCATCGTGGGCCAGATCATCCAATAAGTCGTCTAATAAGAATCGGCATATACATAGGGCTTTATTTTACAATTTCACCATCACTTTCCATCCATTATTTTTAAACATATCAAAGGTAGATGTGCATATTAAAATCTGTTATAGTTACCACTCGCTTTTTACTTCTTAGGAGTTACACTAAATTGAGTTAATCCTTGCCTATTTATAAGGTTAACATGACATTATAAATACAATATTATTGCTAGATTACAATGGTGTAACAATATAAAACATTTGACAACTGCAACTAGGTATATTAATATTAAGTTTCTATTACAATTGCTATAAGGCTTTGTGAACGTTATTATTATTATTAGTATTTTGTATTGGTACCTTATTAAAATAGTTTTTGACAACAATATACACATTTTATAGGTGAACTAGCGGCCATGATTTCCCTCGGATATCGAATTATCGCAATAAGGTACCATGGCCTCGGCCTGGAGCAGGAGAAGGAACAGGATGGTTTTTAGTCAGTAAGAGTCTGACACTCCCTCTTGCTTCATCCTGGGAGAGAGAAGTCATCATTCGATGATCAATGGATGGAGACCATGGTTGATGAGGCCTATACTTCATCAACCATTTGGTCTTGCCGTAGTCAGCATGAGGGTTGGTAGGTAGACAAAAAATATATGATAATAATCAATTATGACTTGCGCGAACGCCAGCATTCGCTTGGGTTCAAATGAATTAAGAGATGTATGTTGTTATCAAAAACGAAGTCACTTCGGACGGTAAATAGTCTTATTTATTATAAAAATATATTGTCAGCAACAGGTAACTAATGCAATAAGTATTAACCCCTCGAATTGTACGATAATATTGCTTTCATTACAACTAACATGCTTCACAAACTTGACTACTTTTGGTCTCTTTTGACAGAGAATTGAGACTAGCCCGGCCAAAATCACTTCAACTCCTGTGATCTACAATCTACAGAAGATACAACCATGAAAACCATGGAAAAAAACTGGGTGGCTTGTGTATGCGAGTTTTTATGTTTGTAAACGCACCTACGACATAGGAGAAAATCCTAGTAATGTAGGGCAATGTTTTTTTTTTAACTGCCAACACACTGAATGTTTCGAGTACCCACTAAAGTGTAGACTGTGATCAACATTTCAGCCATTTCTTCAATGATATAAAGTGACAAGTATGTTATGTATAGTAGACAGCAAAATTGAATTGAAATGAGGCAGCGTTATGTTTCTTTTTGTATTTTTAACAACCATATTAGTCAAGTTCTGATATAACTAACTAATTTAGTATTTTTTGCAAACCTCTTTTTATACTCATATATTATTATACTATTATTTTTAAACATAGATATGAATTAAGCTAAAACCGAAGCTAAAGCCGAGCTCCCAAAACCGCTTCAACTCCTGTAAGCCAGGATCTATAAGTAGATACAACCATGAAACACCGAAACACCGGCGTGTCCTTTAAACACGAATCACTGTCTTGCTTAGATCTCGCAACGAAATAAATTATAAGAAATTATTTGATGATAGTGTCTAGCCTCGTCAATTAGACATATGTCTTAATGTCTCACGTAGGCCTGTAGGCCTAGGTTAGTTGGCATTTAAATACATGGCCTTACTACGGCTTAAACCAACCATATCTATGCTTATAATAATCGTATAATTTTAATACAAATTTATAAAAATCATTACTTAATTGATAGCCATAATACTTATAAGATTCATAATTACTCCTTAAGACAACATTTGCTTTAAAACCTACCTCTTTTAACTTACACTAATTTAAAAAAAAAGGTCTTATTCAAACTAAAAAAAAAAATATGAAAAAGTCTATTCTTCTTTGATATTATCTATGCTTGCTGTCTATGGTTATGGTTTGACATTTGAAAAGAGCGGGAAAATTATTGTTTTTGCGTTATTTGTTGTTTTTAACGCTTTTTTTATACCGATGAGGTAGGTAGAGATATTATAGTTCCATCAGGCGATTTTAGATTAAGACTTAGACCATTATACGAAATGTAATTAGTATTCTTAATATTATTGAAGTTGGGTGTACTTTAGATATTTCCTTGTTTTGTTGTCTAAATGCTGAATTTAAATGTTACCTTTTCTTCTTCAGGAGTTGATTTATATCTGTAGAATAAAATATTTATGTAGTAATAAAGTATTGAAGAAAATAAAAATGAAGACTGAACAACAAAATAACATTAGGTATTATGCAAAATACAAGAACTTTATAGCATGCAGGGTGGTCAATAGGGTTACATGTTTGGCCCTTTAGGCATACAAATAAGTAATACAAGTTATTATAAGCAAAAAGTAGTATAGAAGACAGAAGCTACTTCTGGATTATATCATCCGCTACTTGACTCCTATTAATTATAGCGTTATTTTTATAGCCTGTTGCTTTAGTTTTTAAGTGGACTATTGGACAGAAAAAGTATAGTCTTTTTTTGAACTAGCAGTTCTGAAGATTAGAGCAATCAAATATTGTTAGAATATTTTGAATCGAGAACAATTATTTTAGTAAGTATTATTTTAACAGATCAATGACCTATACATGATATCCAACGAAGAAAAAAAAATTAAATCCTGTGTTTTCCTTTAAACAAGCTTTTAATTGTTAATTATATTTAAAAATAATAATTATTAATGGAATGGAAAACGAAGATGTGGCTGACGATAGAGAATACCTAGTTATAAGCATGCTATTCAATCGAGACTTGTATTTTACTGAATGAAAACTATATATTTTTACTTTCAAAAGCCATTTGAAATGCATTTAAGAATTTTTTATGTCACTTGGTATATCTAAATCTATACTAATATTATAGAGATCAACATTGTAATAATCTCGAAAATCCGTTTAATTCCATCCAAAGGTTGTCTGGAAGAGATTGCTTTTAGCGATAAAACCGCCTTTTATACTCATGTTTGTTTGTTTCCTCTTTTTTATGTTGTTGTTCTAATAGTGTAAAATAAAGAATATATAATAATAATAAACTTTGGAACCGCTAGTCGGATTTCGAAAATTCTTTCACTGATAGATAGCTACACAGTTCTTTTGTGCTATAAAGAGGTAAAATTGTAAGTTTGTATGTAGGGGATAATCTTTGGAACCGCTGGTCGGATTGCCAAAATTCTTTCACTGGTAGATAGCTACAATGTTCCCGAGTGCTATAGGCTATAAAACATCACGCTACGATCAAATGGAGCCGAGCAGTGGGTGAAACCGCGTGGGAGTAGCTAGTAGGCTATAAAATATCACGCTACTATCAAACGGAGACGGGTAGCGGGAGTGGTTGGTAAAGTATGGAGTGTAGACAAGCTACGTACGTGTACTAGAGCGCGGCGGCGGGGGCGAGGGCCCGCAGCAGGCGCGAGTGTGTGTGGGCCCCGAACAGGACGCACAGCAGGGACACGCCATAACCTGTCGCACGCTCGCCCTGTGTGCCAACAAAACAACATCATTAAACACCGGCTCTGTACAAAACCGGCGTGAAACATCCACGTCGTTTCGCCCTGCAAGTGAAGTTGCCGGAGGACCAATCGTTTTTCTACCCCTATTCCCTAAATCCCCATTTTGCCGGGGTTGCGGGGTAAGCGTAATGAGGCACCGCGACCTCGGCATAGAGCAGGAGAAGGAACAGGGGGGTTTTTAGACAGTAAGAGTCTAACACTCCCTCCCGCCCGGCCCTGGGCGGGAGAAGTCATTTGATGATTTTCCCCTCACAAAAAAACCCCTTATGTCCAGAGGGATCAGTAACGCACTTGCAAGTCCTCGGATTTTGCGAGTGTCCATGGACGTCGTCGATTCCTTTCTATCAGTTAATCACATAAAAAAGGACTGCATTATTACTGATCTTTCAATATCGAAAATGCCAAATTGAAAAGGTTTTAATATAGTTAAAATTTGTGTAATATTCAAAAATAATGTCTAACAAAAAATTGGAATTAATATTCCGTCAGTCGGTCCGTTAGAGACGCTAAATGATCGTCCAAAATGGAGAAAAACAAGCAAAAAATATCGTTACTATTTAAAAAAATAAGTTGTACAATGTAACAAATTAAAATAAAGTTTTCCAAAAAATTGTTGTATTATAATATAGGTAATAATTATAATACATACGCAGTGCGCCGGCGCAGCCATGTCGATATGCAGCCAGGAGCCGGGGAAGTCGAAGCCCAAGTGGGACAGAATGAACAAACCCGCGCAAGATGGCTGAGCGTTGTTGCGGTCCTGGAACAAAACAATCATAATTTAGAACAAGGATTTAATTAGATTAGATTTTAAAATGAAAAGCTTATAAATAATGTATACTTAAGCCAACTTAATACTAATGAAGGGCTTTGTTACAAAAAACGTGTTGGAAAGTTGTTGTTCTGGTCCTGGGTGTGTGAAATGATGAGTTTGTAAACACACCCCTGAATCCCCTGATACAAATACAAAGTAAAATAATATTTCTTTTTCATTTTGAAATATTTCGGTTTCAGAAAGCCCGATCAATGTTAAAATCAAATAACTAGGTGTTAAATCTCTTGTCAAGTCATCTGATTGGTTGTTGATAATTCAGTCAACCAATCAGATGACTTGACAAGAGAATTAAATTGATTTTAACATTGATCGTCCTTTCGGAAACCGGGGGTAAATCTCCGAAACCCTAATCCGCAAATAGCTGGCAGTGCACTCATGATTGCTTTGGCGTTGCACTCACTCGTTTGGCGGCACTGATTGCTTACCATTGGCTAATCTATAGACTAATTTGCCGCCCCATCATAAGTAAAAAATTTGGAAATAATCGCCTGTGAATCTACTTTTTAGCTTATTATAATAGGGTAGCTAGTGCAAGCGCAATTATGTTCAAAAAAATATAGTTTGTATTGTAAGTGGAGTTACAGCGACACTATTCTTCATATCGGCGACGCAGCTGGTGAACTCGGTGAAGTGTAGTTCAGGCGCGAAGGGCAGCGGATGGGCGAGGTCCCCGCAGCGCAGGCCGGCCGCCACGCAGCGCGCCTCCAGCCGCGCGCTGTTCGACACGATGCCCGCGTGGTACTTGCCCGTCGCCGTACCCTGCACCAATACAATTACAAACATTATTCTAACAAAAACTTTCTAAGTTGAGTCTGCGGGTCTAAACGTCAAGCCTACCAAGGTATCCAAATAATATTTTTTGGCGTAAATAAATATATGTTGTTAATATGAAACGCGAAAGTTTAAAAGTTAGTAAAAGTAAAAGTTCTGTGACTACTATAGTGTAGGAGAGCCATGTTGCGGCACGAATGGGTCGGCTCGACCGGAGTGATATCACGGCCTCACAGAAAACCGACGTGAAACAACCACAGCGTTGTATTTCGCCGTGTGAGTAAGGTTCTCGGAGGCCCAATCCTTCCCCTCCCCCAATCCCTCCTCAATCCGTAATCTCTAAAAAGTCGACAACGAAATTCTACGTAGCAAGTGTCCATGGACGGCGCTGATTGCTTACCATCAGGTAATCCGTCTGCTCGTTTGCAGGCTAGGCTACCAATATTGTCAATTCAATTAAAAAAATGGTGTTGCCAACCTAAATTAAATTATTAAAAGAGTACGCCTCGGTTTCCACTTTGTATTTTTATGTTATAGATCCTATTAGTCTTTTATAATTTAATTTAAGTTGGCAACACATTTTTTTAATTGAATTGGCAACACTGGTAGCCGATCGTCAAAAAACGACCACAAGTTTTACATACCTGAGCACCAGTTAGAGTAGCGACATCTACAATGGTATCAGCCTTCAGGTCCCTAGACGCGTACACCACACCATCGCTGAGGACTAGACGACCTGTAACATACACGACAAAATAACCATTGATCATCAGGAACAGTACAATATCATATCACTACAGTACGGCCGCTGTATCTTGGCGAGTCTGAAGTTAGCCGTTTGTCTGCGCAATGGATCTTTTGGGAACAAAATTGTGTACTGCGCAGCTAATCGGCTAACTTCAGACTCGCCAACTGTACATAGTATAAAACAAAGTCGCTTCATCATATCCCTATGTACGCTTAAATCTTTGAAACTACGCAATTGATTTCGATGCGGTTTTTTTGATAGATAGAGTAATTGAAGATGTTTTATATGTTGTATGATAACATCCATTAAGTAGTGGAGGAAATTAGAATCAGCATTGCAACCATGCCGGAGCGGGTCAACATTATATTATTCTGCATTGTCATGTTAATTGATCAAAACCATGTCAACATAGATAAAAAAATCTTCTCTCCTTTTTATAAAAACGTTGCCCCACACTAGGATTTTCTCCTGTGTCGTAGGTGCCGTTACAAACATACAATGTCACATACACATGACACCCAGACCCGGAACAACAATTTGTGTGTCACACAAAGAGTTGTTGAAAACATGTGCAATCAGTCAAAAAAATAATTATAGTTATCATCTTCCTCATCATAGCTTATCAAATGAATGTTTTTTTTTTAAAGAGTAACGATGGAGTTTCATGCTCGTTCTTCTCCATTCAAAACTACAATTTGGAACGAGCACCTAGTTTCACTGACGAACAGATTGACAGACTACTTACTATTCTATTTTGACGTTTCAAAAGTACCTATTTATGGTTTAGTTGGAATAAATGATTTTGATTTGATTTGATTTGAATGTAAAGTACATAATGAAAAAGACTTTATCGACTTTTTCGATTCATTTTTTTTATTTATATTCTGCAATATATCGCTGAATTGGATTTTTCAAGAGTAAGTTGTTTTCTCTACTTATATTATAAAGAGGTAAAAGTTTTAAACTTGTCTGTAGTATTTTTTCACTGATATATGAAACATCACGCTACGATCAAATAGATCCGAACAGCGGGTGAAACATCGCGAGAGGAGCTAGTTATCAATAAATTTTAAGTCTCACTGATAGTTGTTACATACAAATAGCTCATTAAACTCCACTTTTGGACTATGTGCCTCTTATGCATAAGAGGTCGGGCAGGCCTTGAAGAACAAATACCTTACCTTCAGCATCCGTATTATTGATTTCTACGGTGCGTCCCGAGTACAAAGTGTGGATGTCATCCGGTCTAGAATGAAAAACAAAAAATAAAGTTAATTTTAGATTCAACAGGGTAACTCGTCTAGTTACAAGTTACGCGAGGGGCCTATAATCGATATAGGATATTGACGCGGTAACTTTGTACGAAGATTAAAATCCAATTAGATCGTCAGTTAGATAGGATCGAATTTCCTACTGGCAACTGTATTTACATTTTTATGCCGTCTGAGTCACGTAGCGACGTCTATTGGCAACTGTTCAAACTATTACCCACTGTTTTATCGATTCATATTCATTAATGCTTCGGATTACAAGTTATGGTCCTTAGTCCCTGTTTCCCCAGTGTTCTTCTTACCATTTCTAATTAGTCATACTAATTATTGTATCACTAGAACTATCATTGTCATCATATACTATAAATAGGATGGTCGAGATAATGTCGACCATTGACAAAATAACCATCGGTTTCCGAAAGGCCGATCAATGTTAAAATCAATTTAATCTCTTGCCAAGTCATATGATTGGTTGACTGAATTATCAACAACCAATCAGATGACTTGACAAGAGATTTAACAGGAGATTAGTTAATTTTTAGTGTTGACAAGCCTTTCAGAAACCGGGTGTAAGTCAATGGTCGACACTATTTCTATTCACTATTATGTAGTGGAGTGAGCTACCCGACTGTGTACTGTTATATTAAAGTATTATAACTTTTACTAGTAGTAGTATAACTTTTACAAAAGTAAAATCATTGTTATACGCCATAAAACGGCACTATGACACGTCAAATTATATGTAAAAAACTAGATAGAGCCAGCATTTCCTATCTGACTACTCTGAGAAGAAATGCCGAGTCAAACCCAGAAGTCAGGATATCTAAAATCCAAGTCTTTTGTTCATATTACACTGACCTTATTTGGTATTTTATATAGAGGTTTTTTTTCCTACATCCTTACCTGGTAGCAAGAGGACCGACAGCGTTCTCAGCGAGGCAGAGTACGGCGTGTAAGTTGATAGTTGGCTTGGATTTGACGGCCAGGGCAAACGCCGCCAGTACTGCCGCCGCGCCGCCGCAGTCGCCTTTCATACCTACCATTGAAGTCTGTAGGGACATTATCGTATAGATGAGAATTAAGAATAATAATAATTATTAGACTTAATTAAGTTTGTAATAAAGTTTCAATATTTTGGTAAATATCTAAAAATTATATTATAAACATGATTTAAATTTATTTCTTAATTCAAATATATTTTGCTTAAAAAAACTACAAAAATATTTAAAATGATAAACCTACTTGGTAATAAAAGAACAGTTTACACCACTGAACTGTCTCTTACATACCATTTTAATAAAAAAAATATAAACAATGTACACCTTCTTTAGGTTAGATTGGTTAAATTTAAATTGTTGTGGGTGCTAAAGGTATACAATTTCACATACACATCACAACCAGACCCGGACAAAAGAATTGTGGACACAAAGAGCTGTGTCGAGCAGGAATCGAACCCGTCACTTGTTCACGCAGCCAGTTTCCAGTAATAACACATACCATTTCATTACCACAAATATAATGTATTATCTTCAGAAAATAAGATATCGAGCTACACATGACAAAAAATCCTAATAAGAATAATATCACTCAGAACACCACAAAACCACATCTTTAAACATTTTTCTTAATGAACAAAAAATCTAAATTTTAGTACATGAAAAATGTTAACCACCAAACAAATAACTCTTAAGTTAGTTTATTTAAAATATGAAAAAAAAATATGCTTCATTTTTTATGTATGTACAAATGACATGGATGAATGTATGGAATTATGTATAAATAATGAATGTGAAAAACCCAGACACACATAGATGCACAGAACCAAGAAGCGTGATACCCAGTTGATGATCAAAACCACGCTGAATTGGCGATGACCTATTTTGAAAAATAAAGTAAATAATCTTGAATTTTGTATGCAATAACCCTACTATCCTACTAATCCTACTGTCTTACTATCCTACTAATCCTACTATCCTACTGTCCTACTATCCTACTGTCCTTCTAATCCTACTATTCTACTAATCCTATTATTCTACTAATATTATAAAAGTGAAAGTTTGTGAGAATGTATGAATGTATATTTGGTATTCTTTCACGCAAAAACGGCCGGACTGATTTGATTGAAATTTGGTATGTAGATACTTGATGCCCAGGATTAACATATAAGCCATGTTCGTAAGCCCTTATAAGTTGGGTATAAATACACGTTTATTGGACCAAAAAAGGCCAATTGTATTATATTTTCAACTAAAAAATATGAAATTAAATTTTCTGTCTTTTTTCTATCACAACACAACCAGGTAGAGATAATACCAGGTTGATAGAATGATAGGAACTACTAACTAGTGATTTTAAATACATTTTACGAAATATATTATAGATTATTTATTACATTTGAGGTAATGTATTTTGACGCAATATTTCTATACTATGCGTCAAATAACTTATTGCTTTTAAATTACTCTCAAAGATATAAAAATTAACTATTAGATCAAGACAATTAGATCTATAAATCAAATTGTCACGAATTAATTTGAATATTTGATTGTATTTAAGAATCAAAATAATTAGTTTTTTGCATGTCATTGTAATAGGAGGCAAATGGGCAGACGGATCACCTCAAGTAATCAGCGCTGCCCACGGTCACCTTATAAGTACTTTGTCTGAGTAAACTATATATTAGAAACCCCGCCCACACACCACCAAAGCATGAAAAGACGCCACAAACTCACCCTTGCCTTAATACTGAGGCCGCCGGTGTCGTAAACAATGCCCTTGCCGACCCAAGCGACGCTGTCAGCGGCCCCCGGGGCCATGTATGACAGGGTCACGAGGGCTGGAGGACAGGCCGCCGCCCTCCCAACTCCGTAAATACCTCCCATTCCTCGAGCCTTTAACTCCTCTCCTCGGATCACTGTTGGTTCTAGGATGTCTAGTTCTTTTGCCACTTTGAATGCTTCCTGTAAGAGAGAATTAACCTGAATTTGTTTTCTGTAGGGCGGAGTGGAGATTTTTGTTGGATTGAGGAGTGGATGGTGATGGTTTTTTTTATGTAAGAGATCGGCAAACGAGCAGACGGATTACCTGATGGTAACCAATCAGCGCCGCCCATGGACACCCGCAATGGAGGAGTTATGAGTGCGTTGCCGACCTTTTAGGGATTAGGAGATTTAGGGATTGAGGAGGGATTGGTGGTGGGGAAGGATTGGGCCTCCGGTAACCTCACTCACACGGCGAAACACAACGCTGTGTTTATTTCACACCGGTTTTCTGAGAGGCCGCGGTATCACTCCCGTCGAGCTGACCCATTCGTGCCGAAGCATGGCTCTCCCACACTTTGTAGTGATATTTTGGGCAGAATACCAAATTCCGTGTTATTAATAAGTTGTACATATGGTACTGGAAACTCAACACATTTTTATTGCAAAAGATGGGTGGCCAGTAATAAGTTATCATATAGTATATCGGGCATATACACGGAACTCTGTTTTACTCATAAAAGTGATTTTGTCAAGTCAAATAATTAAAGATTTTTTTTTATTTATTTTTTATTATTTATTTCTTCTTCATACAAACAGTGTGAATGGCGGACTTAATGCCTTAAGGCATTCTCTAACAGTCAACCATAGGGCAGTGCAGAGAATTTTTGTTGGTTGCGGTTGGTGCGAAGCAAGGACACAGAGTCCTAGAACAGGATAAAAGGGGAAAGAAAAAGGAAGAAACAAACACGATTCTTTACACATAAATAAATAGATATGCATAAAATAAGTTAACGAATACAATAAATAATACATGTTAAGTATTTTTTTCAATGATTCCTTAGAATAGCACACCCGTCACAGTATGTCCGTTAGACAACGTTAATGTCAAAATCACTAAACGATAAACAGGTACTTTTGAAACGTCAAACTCTATACTATAATATTATAAAGCTGGAGAGTTTCTTTGTTTGTTTGAACGCACCAATCTCCAGAACTACTGGTTCAAATTTAATAATTGTTTTTGTTTTGGTTAGCACATTTATCGAGGAAGGCTTTGAAGGCTAAAACACCACGCTGATATTTGTAGGAGCCGAGCAGCGAGTGAAACCGCGGGACACAAGCTAGTAGAATATAGTCTGTCAGTTAGTGAAGCTAGGTTCTCGTTTCCGAAGTGTAGTTTTGAAGTTGGATTTGACTTATACGACGAAACACGACTTTGCTACGTTCCAGGTCTCCGTGAGGTCCTGGTATCAGATGGAGCCGTCCATGACATGGCTCTCCCACACTCGAGTAATGCTTACCTCAATAAACTTATCCACGTTCATAATATTGGCCGGAGTGTCGGTGATCCTCGCAGCCAGCCTGGTAGCGTCGGCCGCGTCCTGCAAGGTCTGTACCTCCTCAGCAGACAGAGTGTTCTCACACAGCGCCGGGTCTAATGGTCCAATACCTTCATCCTCTGATTCCCCATCTGAAAAGGGTTAGGAATCTGTGACATTTTTAAGGGAGATTTTGTGAATGGGTTACTCTTGATGGAGGACAAATGGTGGGAAATGAGTTTTAAGATACAAAATGATTATTTCTGTGAATTTGTTTTTGATTTTTTTTTACCACGATTTCCATGACTTTGCCTTCATTTAGACATAATAAGAAATAAAGAAAACATATTTTAAGGTTTAACTAAGGTGAAATATGTAATTTAATGTAATATTAGGATGTAGGTATATTATTGTTAATGGCGGTATAAATCTATACTAATATTATAAAAGGTAAAATTTGTAAGTTTGTATGTAGGGGGTAATCTTTGGAACCGCTGGTCGGATAGACTATAGCACTCAGAGTGCCTACAGCACTCAGGAACATTGTAGCTATTATCAGTGAAAGAATTTTGGCAAACTTACAAATTTACCTCTTTATAATATTAGTATAGATGGCAAAGTATTATGTGATAAATAAATAACAAAATTTCCCATAGATAAGTTTAAAGTACTGACCGGGTTTGTCCTCTTTGAGCAGATGTATCTCGACGGCGACGGCGCGCGCGGCGGGCGCGGGCGGCGCGGCGGACAGCGGGGCCGCCGCCGACCGCGCCTGGAACTGCGGGTAGCACCGAGCTATGCTCACCGCACTCGCTAGGACGTCGCGTTTGCGACATACCAACTGTTCAATAGAAAAAAAAATGTGTTATTAAGATACGTCCCCAAAGACTGAACTTTACATAGCTTATAAAATGTCCACTGGTGAGCAAATGCCTCTTTCAAGAATTGCAAATCTAAGCCAATCTATACAGATTTTCTACTCTCTCCCTCTCCCCTTGGAACAAATTTTCGCAAGGTAAGAGCAAGTTTTGATCTATCCAAAAATTATGACAACTGCCATTGACACGACACCCTAATAAAATGCAATGAAAAACGCAAACTCACCACAATGGTCTCATCAGTAGACCGTTGAGTAGACCGGACGATTTTAGCAAGAGCATGGTTTCTGGCTGGGGCAGCGTGTCGGGAGCGACGGGCTGGCAACGATGCGAGGGAGACTGCACGAGGCCAGAGCTCACACGAGTCACCGGGAGATGACGTCACGCATTGAAGACCACGGCGCCAGGCCTACGAGAACATAATTAGTAGGTTCTTTTGTACTATTGTAATTGGAGGTAACTTTTAAACAAAGAGTTAAAAAGTTTGATAGTTGATTATTTGGAAAAAAATGCACTTTTGCTCCGTACCGGAGACCCGCTATAGCTCGCGAGTGGACTGTCACGGAATCTTGATAGTTAAGATGGCGACTTACATTGCCATAGGTTGATCTTTAAAAAATCGAGAAACTAAAGAAATGTGACATCTTTTGAGTAATTAATTTTGAGAGATCCCTTTGTCTAACCAGCTGATTCATTTTCAAAAAGCCCTTATTACCGAAATAATGGCTTCATTAAACTGTCCGAATCAAGATTTCATGAAGGCATAAGTGGAATAGAAATTGCTAAAAGCAAAAAAAGGGGCTATAATTAGTTGGATTACGCAATAAAAATTTTCGCCCTTACCTCTTCAGTCACTCTGGGCTCCAGTTTGCACCGCACATCGTCCCAGTTGAGAGCACCTAGATGAGCTGCCTGGCCTACTATGAGTACCGGCTGCTGTTCAGGGTCCGAAGGCGTCAGCCCCGCCCTGAACTTTATGCTCACAGACGCGTTCGACATTGTGCGAACTGGACAAACAGAAAAAAATATCATGTAATTTTCTTTGCTCTTTTTTGTATGTAAAAATGAAAACTATTGTACGTAGGTAAGATAATAGATAGTAGGTTGCGATAGTCTCGCAAAACTCTGAAAAGGCTAGACCGACTTAGTAAAATTTTAGTTTAAAATATTAGACCAAACATAAACTTTTGCCATATATTTTCCTACCATTAAAATCATTAATAGGTAAGTGGGAAAATCTGGAACAAATGCGTGTACAATACTCAAAAACGAAAATTTTTTATTCTATAAAAACATTTGTTAGTGACATCAGACATTTTTGGCAAAGAACAGATTTGATATTATTAAACTTTTCGATGCATTACGGAGTTCGCCGTGTCAGCTAGAGGTCAGCTGCAGACAAATTTACCTATGTGAGAAAGAAGGTTTTTTGCATAGAGCCCAAATGGGTAGCCGGATCACCTAATGGCAAGTGATCTATGTCGCTCAGACATCCGCGACCCCCGAGAAATTCAAAGTAGGTACGTTGCTTTCGTCTTTGGGGCGGGAACAGAGATATAATAAAATTAGGATAATTGGGTAATTTCCTCGGTCAAAAATAAATTAATTTGACGTTTCAATACAAAAAAATATTAAAAATTACTATACTTTTATTCACCGATCGATCGATACACTAAGTTTCTTTTATTCACCGATCGATCGATACACTAAGTTTAAGCTATGTTTTTAGCAAATATTTAAGAAAAAAGTAACGCATTTGTCCCAAAAATACTATGACGACATAATTCAGTGTTTCATAGAAAAGTATCGTTTTTGATATTTGGATAAAAGTATTAAATTTAACTAGATGGAACTACCGTATTGAGGTATACTGGTATAGACCAATATTGTTTTGTTTATAATGTTAGAAATAGCCCTTTCAATAGTTTTTAAAGATAGCCACTGGCATTTAAGAACTTAAAAGTTTAAATCTTATAAGTATATATATATCAATATATATCGTATAAGTTGCCAGAAATTAGATCACTAATATTTATGTAAGAGGACACAAAGCTTATTGTTATAAGCCGAGTAATAATTAAGGTTTTGTATTACTGACAATTTCAAATATCTACAATCATATAAGGCTCTTGAATAAAATGAAATGTATAAAATAATCATAGTTAAATAACAGAACATAACATTATGCAATAACACAGTTTTTCACATAAACAATCACTATTTTCACTTTATACACACACACACACACAGTTATATTAATTTATTTATTACCAAAAAAAACACAAAATTTATATTTTATAATATTTACTTTGTCGAGCAGCCCAAGTGACGAAATTAGATTTTAATCTATACTGCATACTGAGCCACCTGTCTGAGCTCCAATAACAAACAAAGTCACATTTGTATAACTTTCAAAGTTTTTTTTGTCTAAAACATTCAAGCCAAGGCAAATGTTGTCTAGCAACCTTATCTAAATCGTGTATAATATTAAACTCATAATGACCTTAAATTTGAATATTGTTATAAGATAAATAAAATATGATTTTTTTTTGTTGTCATAAGCCCGCAAACGAGCAAACCGATAACCTGATGGTAAGCAATCAGCGCCGCTAATGGACACGTTATAACAAAGGAGTTACTACAAGTGCGTTGCCGGCCTCTTGTGGGTTATAGAGGTTTAAGGATTAAGGATGAGAGGAAGCATCAGGCTTCCTATTGATTCTTCTTACAAGAAGTGTGGGAGAGCCATGCTTCGGCACGAATGGGTCGGCTCGACCGGAGTGATACCACGGCTTCACAGAAAACCGGCGTGAAACAACCACAGCGTTGTGTTTCGCCGTGTGAGTGAGGTTATCGGAGGCCCAATCCTTCCCCATCCCCAATCCCTCCTCAATCCCTAAAACTCCAAATCACTAATCCCTAAAAGGTCGGCAACGCACTCGTAAATCCTCCGTTGCGGGTGTCCATGGGCGGCGCTGATTACTTACCATCAGGTAATCCGTCTGCTCGTTTGCCGATCTATTACATAAAAAAACATATCAAATTAATTTCTAGGTGATTAGACTACCTAGTAACTGAGCGATTAAACTTTATTATTTTGTTAGTTTCTTTTAGCGGTTTCGCCGGCAGTGCACGTAAAAAGCCTATGTGTTATTCGACACTATAAGCTATCTTTGTGGCAAATTTCATAGGCATACATTCAGTAGTTGTAATGTGAAAAAGTTAGAATTATTAAACTTACGTGTTTACAAGATTAAGTTTATAAAATCTTACACAATATTTATGTAATGATAAGACTGCTGTCCTTGTTAGAATGAGTAAGCATTGTGCTTACAATCTGTTAGTAGCAGGCAGATGTCATTCTCTAGTCATAAATACACACTACATAATATTATGCTTATATTATATCTTTATATAAGTATAAAATGGATTGCAGTATGTGTTGGTAAGCGCATAACTCAACAATGCCTAGTCCAATTTTGCGAATTCTTTTTTTGTTGTTTTTTATAGTCAGGAGAAGGAATATCAAAGAAAATATTAGAAAAGTAGAGTGGTAAATTAAATTGTGAAAAAGTCACTTCGAAGATGTCAAGATAATTATTAAAGAAATACGTTTTTTTAAAGACAACTAAATGGAAGCAAACTTTACAAATCAAATAATAGAAACTAAGTAAGACTACTATATTATATTTAAACACACTAGCAGCTTAGAAAGTGGATGAAAAGAAGTAATTGTTTATCACTATACTGTAACATACAAATAAAATACCTTCCATTCGCGCCAAGCATCTGCTTTACTTCACAACAAAACTTGAACTGATAAAGCAGTGCCTACTTAAAAGGACAATGAAGACACAATTTAGGAGCTATTAAACTGGACAATGCACACATAAATATGTGACACATTAATTTGGTTGCCACGGTAATTTCATGATAACTACATAATCAACTTCTGTTAACACAACATCATTTAATTATTTTTTTATGTGGCTTGCATTGCTGTTTAAACTCGTTTTTCTCTCTCCTTCCAGTTTTGCTTAATAAAGATAATTGCATTTTTAGATACAGATTAAGTTTGTATCACAGTGTATCTCGTGTCACAGTTTTCGACTTTTTTCGAGGACTCCTCCGAAACGGCTTGACCGATTTTGATGAATTTTTTGTGCTAATCCGGTATCTATGAGAATCTATTTTACATCCCCCTAAACGTGCTAAAAAAAATTGGGTAGACTACCCCTAGGTAGTCTACCAAAATTTTTTTTTATTTCTATTTTTTTTGATGATATATACAAAAATACATACAATCCTCAATTTTCAACCTTCTACGCTTATTTTTTAATAGCCATTTTAGTAATTTTATCATTTTTTTTTCTTTTGTTTGATAAACTTATTTTGAATTGAAACTATATTTTGTCTACACTAGAAATTACTACGAAATTATTTGTATGGCAAAACAATGTTTGCCGGGTTAGCTAGTATTTTTAATAAAATACCCTACTATTCTACTCCTACTAATATAATATTATAGATGTTAAATTTGTGTGTTAAGATGTAATGAATATTTATGTTTGTTCCAACCAAGATGGCCAATGTTTGACCAATTTGGTTAAAATTAGATATTATGTAGATATGTGATGCCCTGGATTAACATATAGGCTGCTTGTTATGAAAATACAAAGCGGGCAAAGCGGCGGGCGGAAGCTGGTAGAGTTTTATTATTAAGTGGTAAGTTTATTTGTGTGTATAGTAATGTGACTAATGTGTAATGTAAAGTATGTAATAGGTCGGCAAACAAGCAGACGGATGGTGGGCAATCACCGCCGCCCATGAACACCAGCAACAGAGGAGTTACGTGTTGCTGACTTTTTGGGGATAAGGGCTTCGGAGATTTAGGGATTAGGGGAGGGGAAGGATTAGGCCTCCGGTAACCTCACTCACACAGCGAAACACAACGCTATGGTTGTTTCACGCCGGTTTTCTGTGAGGCCGTGGTATAAATAGCTCCAGTGAAGCCGAATATGAGTCTCCCACATTTATTGTACAGTCATCTGATCATTAATTGCATTTTATGATGATACAGCATTTAGAAGTGTGTGCAATTCAGATTCTTAGATTTTAAAACTTGGTACAGATTCATCTGATAAAATGAGAAATGAGTGTGTTGGATTGGACTTGTTAATAGCTTCTTAGTCTGTGCCAAATGTTGTCGAAAGTAATATCAGTAAGTTAAGAGCCACATAAAATTGTTGCTGTCACTGTCTTATACAAACATTCTGATGGTACTGCAACACAAGTATTCCCCAAATAACTTTTATCAAACCATTAAAAAATCAGCCCTATGTGTTTAAAAAGTTAGGGGTCAGTGATATCAGGTCAGTGGTATCATCAACATAGATGACTTATTGAATGTGAAGAGTAATTAAAGAGTTTAATGAAACTATTAGAAATGGTTAATTCTCATTCCATTGTTCGTTGTAAATGAAAACTAGCAAAGCTTATTGCTGTGAGATTAGCTTGTCTTTCTGATTTTAATTTAGTTTTTAAATTGAGTGATTCATATAAAATAAATCAAATTTATGTTTTTAATTTCTAACATTGTAAGCAGTTTCAATCAATTTTTAAATTAAGACAAGTTTTTTTTTATTTTGTCCCAATAATTTTTACTCTGTGTCTTCATGACCCACATAAAAATGGAACACCACTTAAACTAAACTTATTCACTTAAAAATTAATTAATTTAATAAATAAACATTATAAAGTACCTTATCAAGAAAACAAAAGAATGCTATTGTTGCTTGGATACTTTGGTATCTACAGAGATGTATTTAATTGATACTAAAGATTATTTTTAAAACAACTGTTTTAGCCAGTAAGTTTAATAATATGTACTAAAAAGCAAACACTATATAATAAGTACCCAAAAAATCTATGTGGTGGATTGCTCATACAAAATCAAATGTATATTGTAAGTGGCTATTCAGGGATTGTAAAACAGATCCTTATTATCATAACTTTTAACCACCATGAAAATGTTATTTATTCTTATTAGTAATCAAATAGAAAAACTGTACTTATCAGAACTAATATTTGCTCAGCAAAGAGTTTTTATAACTGGCTGTATGTCTGAGCATAGAGTAAGCAATACTTTTGATAAGCATACACTCAATGCAGATGCCCTCTTTGTCACGACTAGTACATGTATAATTCATTATGTATGTAACATATACTCCAGATTATTATGACTAATAACCTTTTGTGACATGAAATTAACAATAAAAGCGATTTCATTGCACATTTAAAAGATTTTCATTCAACACTTTAAAAAAAACGAGGTCTTCAGATTTTTTTTTCCAAATCTAATTCAATTATTACTAATACGTGTCTAAAAATACACCAATTAGAACAAACAAGCCCAAATTAATAGGTCATTCACCTGCGACATAGGTTGGATGTTTTATTACACTTATATACGTATTAAACACTCTTAGCAACAACATGATTAATTATATAACACTAAAACATGACAATATAAAACACAAACAAGGTTTTTGAACATCAAAAACTACACGAACTGACTAGCGCTAACTTTTAAAATTGCTTACCGTTTTTTGCGTTCTCCTTTCTCTTGAAGTCTTTTACCGTCTCAGGCACATTGGTTAGTAACTAATTCGTATAAAATTATAAGTGTAATTAAATTACAAATAGTTTATTGTTTACTTTCGATAAAAAGAAAGTGATAGCACTTTCTTGTTCTCCAACTTGCCAAATCATTGAATAATTTCGTTCCGTAACTTCATGAAACGTCACTAGATTGTGTAGATTGAAATAAAATACTTCTTAATATTTTATAGCAGCAAATAGCAATCAGTAATTATAATATACGAAAAAATAAGGTTAACTGTTTTTTATTATTGGGAATATTTAATTTTAAGACACTAAAATGTTATATTATTTTATTTAGTTTTACGACGAATTCTGAGTTTCGCTGTTTCATTTTACGCAGGAATATTAACAATGGCGGCTTCATTCGGTAAAACCTGTTCCTGTTTTAAATTATTCTTTGTGTAAAGATCATTACATACGAGCACAAGAATTTTAGTACCTACAGAAGAAGTAAGCGATGTAATATTTTATAATTTAACATGTCGATTAACGCGCCAAAATTGAAAATCGGAAGATTCGAAAGGTACTTTTATTTAACTTGGAGTTTCACACAAAATATAAAATTACATAGAAAAGTATCGTTTTCGACATTTGGGTAAAAGTATTGGATTTGACTAGTTGGAAACTACCTAGTATGAACTATGTTACCCATATGAACTATTCGTCGAAGTGGACCTCATAACCATAAACCATAGGATCCTATGAATAGGATCCTATGGTTTATACAGGTAGTATGTACCCTGTGTATGTACCTTATACATACCACCAGTTCTATACATTACCGATAAATATATCCATTGTTATGTTTCGCCGTGTGGGTGATGTTACCGGAGGGCCATTCCTTCCTCTCTCCCAACCTCTAAATCAATCAACTAAACCCAAAAGGTCGGCAACGCACTCGTAACTCTCACATTGTTGCAGGTGGCCATGGGCAGCGCTGATTGCTTACCATCAGATTATCCGTCTGCTATTTTGCCGTCTTAACCTAAGATTCGAGAGGGAGGGAGTGTCGTGAGTGAGACTCGCACTGACTAAAAACTCTTCCGTTTCTTCTCCTGCTCTGAGCCGAGTCCGTGGTGCCTTATTGCGCTTGCCCTGCGACCCCGACTGAACATCAGCCCTATAGGGCCCCGTCTGTAGTGGTCTATTGGCGCGTGCGGATCGCAAGACGCCGCGCGCCGTAGGCGCGGGTCTGTTCTGGCCGACACCCGAACAATTCCAAATATAAAAATATAATAATTCAAAATATAATAAATACCAGATCATATATTATAACCTACCTACCTACATTTTTGTGTCATGTTATTTAGTTGTATTCAAATATTTCTTTTTATATTTTCGGAACCCTTGGGTAAGAATTGTTGTAGGTACCTAAGTTATAGTAAATTATCAGGTCCAGTTTTTACACCACAATTGTATATAGTATAGGCACGGTCTCACAGAAAACTGAAGTATAACAACCACAAAGTTGAGATTTGCCGTGTGAGTGAGGTTACCGGAGACTCACTCTCCTCCTCCCACCCCAAGACCATAATCCCCAAATGGTCGGCAACTTACTCGTAATTCCTCCGTTGCTTCGGGTGTCCATGGTTGCGCTGGATGCTTACCGTATATTTACCAAGAACATTAAAACAAAACAATTTAAGTCGAATTTCCTTTAATAGTTTCATCATTATCAGCTACAGAACCGAACCACATAACAAATATCAACCGTAGCACTTTGCATTAGCTTATAAGTAATTATTAATTAATAATTAAGCTTTATACTAATTTATACAAATTTTAGAATTGATGACTGTACTACATGCTGCATGGTAAATTATTGCGGTGCAGCAAGCTTGGTTGAAAAATAGACCTTAGTTAATACGAATTAAAATTATTTTTTGCGTGTAATGGAAGTCGGTTTAAGTGAATAGTACAGTCAGATTCAAAAATTAGTGAACATTTTATAAAGATATTATTTTTTTTGTCAATTTTTGGGTTTATAGAGAAGAGTTTTTATTTAGACTTCCATTACAAGTCCAGTCCCCCCATATCGAGACCCAGCCCTAAATATAGTGTCGAAAATAATTTAGTTACAAATAACTTAAATAATGTACTTACTTACAATTTATCTATGGAAGCGCCTTTGTAATTAATCGATGGCCTTATCATTAACGTGTAACAATTTAGGGTTACCACACCGCAACTTACTGTAAAATTATAAAAAAAATATTTGTTTAAAATTGTGAACTCGAAGGACTGTATTATTTCTAAAATAAACCTTTTATAAAATCACTTTAGAGATTTTAAAGCAACTTTAGAGATTTTAGAGACTTCAAGCTTATACTAATATGTATTTAGAACATGTATTTCAAACATGCAATGTAATTTAATTCTCCTATATTTTCTACAACTTCACAAAATTTTTCAGTCAGTAACTTTTTCGAAAATAACTTTTATTTATTATGCAGATTGTTATTACGTTTCCAAATTACAAAAACAGTCCCTTGAGTTCGACTAAATAACTCTATGACATACATATTGAAAGACAAAGAATGGAAACATTGGAGCATTTATATACAGACAAAACAAAATAATGTGACTAGGAATTTACTGACGGAAAATAAATAATTTGTTATTAATTGATAATACAAAATAATATTTTTATTTAAAAAGTCTATCAATATGCATGTCACAATAATATTTGTATGAATTAAATGATAAATTTTATTTGCAATCGACTTTAAATCAAACGGCAGGCAAAGGCACTTATATAATGTGTAATATTAACTAACACATAACTGTCAAAAACACCTTTACACACTAGAAACTGCGAAACAAAAAACATTCACATGTCACTATCATAAATATTTAAACTACGATTCTTATATTTCCTAATAATTTCTTTATAACTGCTTTCGCTCGGTAAAAAAAAAACGAAAAAAAAAACAAAAAGTAAAACGTATCTAAGTTTTATTAACATTTGAACGAGATTTTACAATTTCATAAATTTTAACATGGAAGCGTATGTACCATAACAAAGCGAAACATCAAATAAATATAATACACCAAAGATTTAAGTACAATAAACAATACTCAGAGTGATTATTTGTAAAACAAAAATAATTAAAAATCAACATCCTAATTTTGAAGTACAGTCAACTTCATAAATATGTAACTTGTAACAAAATAAATCAAGTACCTAATATGTTTTTACAAAACTAAATAAAAAAGCAACCAGCAAAAAATCCACATTTGAGATATTAAAACTAGATAAATTTGTAAGATTAAACAGCACCGGGCGACATTAACTATATGTAGCACCCAAAGTTACATATTTACGCGGTTAACTGTACCACTTGTACAACTAAGCGTGCAACTCATTTTTAAAAACAAGTAAAAATTAAAACGAAGGCAAACCAAGGAGGATTAATGCCAAACGAAATTATTTTGCGATTACAATCATATCAGCCCCAGATAACAACGCCTTCTCCAGTGAGTTCCTTTCATCACTTTTTACATCACAAAGTAATTCCGTCTGAAACCGTCATAACATTGTACTTCATTTAAAGTATTTTTAAACACTTATCTAGCCCCTCTATACATAAAATTCACTAGCCACGATTTTATAATTAAAAATTGTTAGTTCTTTAATATTTATTACAAACTATTTATTAACCATTTTTCAAAAATATTTCAAGTAGATGACGTTAGTTTCATTGGTAACATAAAAATGGCGACTAAACGGTTTGGGACAGCGCCATCTTTTATTCGCAATGGAACTTAGTTATTCCCGTTTGATTACAGAAAAAATCAATATTGATGTCAAATGGAAATGACAATGTTGAAATATTTTCGTTTTTTTTCTTGTTGTTAGAACAATTTATTCTAATATTATATAATAATTCAGTACTTTCTCGGTACTGGCTTCCAATGGCCCACCCAGCGCATATTAAGTGACCTTTCAATTGATATTCATATATACCTATGTATAATTACAAAATATATAAAAACACCAAATGAAGGGTTGTGAAACAGTTTGCTTATTAACAACTTCAAGCGTTATACAGTAGTCTTCCTTTCGAAACGCCCTGTACTTAAGTTTCAAGAAAATACTGATCACAGCTATTTTAGATCAATTTGGAATAATATAAGGTTTATTTAATATTTAATTTAAAAACCTAACTGCCTTAATTTGGAGTCCGTTAAAGGACAGAAAGCGAATTTTGACTTAGGTAACGCCCAATTTATTTATAAATAAATGAATCTAATTTGATCTTTATTTTAATCGAGATAGATATCATTTTAATATTTTATACAAAGTTAAGCATTTCCATTATTTTTAGGTTAGTTCAAGCTAAGCTAAAATAATTTCATTTTTAAATAAAAATTACAAGTATCTGTGGCAAGGGTCAGTGGTAAAGTTAAATTCAAATAGTAACATTTAGATAACAATAATAATAGGTCTTTACCTATGAAATTGCCGTTTAGCATGAAAAAATTTTAACGAATTTTTTGATTTGAAATGCGATGAAAATGTAACACTATTCAACAAACAAATGACTCCTTTTGGAAAAAGAATCCCATGTTTTTAAAACAAAATTAATTAGCCTTAGCCTAACAAAAACTATTTCGATTTGAAATGGCCAGTACTGCAGAACGGCAATTTCATAGGAAAGACCTATTATTTTATACACAAAAACATTATTTATTGTCATTTTTTTATACTGCGAAAAATGGTTTTGTGTCAAATAAAATTTTGAAATAATAGAATTCAATTTGGTCATGTTTCAATTACAGTTCAAGTGAAAAATATGTGACCATCACCACATAGAAAAACCATTATGACCTAAAGTTCATATTTTACATATGACGTAATCACTTTAAACTATTTCCATAACACTGTGACCTGTTTACTGTTAGACTGTTACCATTATAAATTATGTACAACCAATACACCCGTAGAGGTAAGTAAAATATTATATAAACTTAAAGAAAAAATTGTATGTATGACACACAATTTCCTTAAAACTGGGAGATTTTGAAGTCATATCACAAAATACAGAAAACCATTTTTAATGTTTAGGTACTAGACGGGCTTGAAATAGGACTATGAAAAAAGGTGTTTTTACATATTAAAGACGTTATTGTACTAGGCTTTCTTCAGTAAATATTTATTTATTCAACCTATTTTCCAGGTCCAAGTTAAGATCGAGACCTAACACTCGGCAGTCGTGTGAGGATTCGTTCTTTTAAGTTATGACTTATACACCGATCACAGCAAGAAAACCTACTCCTTTGTGTAAATATTCGTTATTACATTTTCAACTTTATAGTTTGGATATACAATCAAAAGTCGCATGAAAAATATTGGCAGAATGGTGTAGTTTGACGTGATGATCATTAATATGGCGAAAACAATAAACATTTACTAAAAGGAACCCTATTACCGAATCGTTAAGGTTATTTATGTACAATTATCATCTATTTCTAGCCCACGACACGAACAGCTGACGTTTACAATGATTAACAAGAAGCGCTCTCTATTAGAAGTAGATGTCTTAAAGTTATTATAATTTATTTTACTGACCATTTCATTTATATAATCACGGTCAAGATGTCACTTTGGTTTGTATGATATTAAAATATTATTATTATTATATTTTTTGTTTCAACGTTCAGTAGCCGACTGTACTTTTTCTTATTATGGTAATTACTGAGTTTTCCCACGCGAAAGAAGATAATTACGAAAAAAATAGTATGACAACATTAAACCCAAACAAAACCGTTCACAGTCAGGTGTAAAACAAGTTATAATAAATTCATATACGACTAAAAATGTAGCAAATTCATTTGCATTCTTGTTTTTATTTACATAATTATTTATTCAAAAAATATTATATCAGTTTGGTTAGTAACAAAAAAATAATTAAATAAGCAACAGATGGGACAAGTCTGCGAAAAATCGATTTAAATTTCACAATAAATCGTGCCTATAAATAAAAAAAAAACTAGTTTTATCTGCAACCAGCTGGCAACTACACCGTGATATTTACAATTCAATTGAAATAAATTAAAAAAGAAACGTGATATTGTCTTTTATTATATTAACGAACCCGCAATGGACCTGCAAATGTTTTATTTTTTTTTCTTTACATAACAAAGTATTAATTATTGCTTTTCCCTAGATCATAATGTATCTCTTTCTACCCTTCCACGCTACATAAGGATAATTGACGAGAAGATGAAACAACTACGAAAAATGAATATTAAAACGACCCTTTCCTATAGGAAAATAGAGAATTAAATTTGTAACACTAAAACCGATTAAAGAAGGATATCAATGTCAAAATAAATACACATATAAAACAACATTTTGAACAGTAACAAAATATAGAATTTCTGAATAAAAAAAAACCCAAAAATATTTAAAAATTTTCGCTAATGGAAACTTGTCACAGCCGAATGTGTTAATTCATTTTCAAATTTTGTAATTTTTTTTTTCGATTTCCGTCGCATATTATACTCTTACTTAAGCTTAGATCGATGTGAAATGTTTTTAATGAAACTACTGACAGTAAATAGAGTGGGCGGGAGTGTGCTCCCTCGTGATAACTATACAAATCTTAAAAATATTATACTTAAACGTGTATGTAAAATGTAATTTTGTTATTTTTTCACTTAAAAACGGCTAGACCGATTTGGTTGAAATTGGGTATGTAGACAGGTGATATCTTGGATTACCATATAGGCTTGCTTTTTATCAAAGTTTTTTAAAAGCTTGCCTATAATAAATTCTGTAACGCTGTCTCCTAAACTAGGTATTAATGTACCATATGGTTAGTTTACAAACATTTCACACCGATCTTGGCCGAAGTAAAGGTACATAGAATTTATATTGGCATTTCAATTTATTAGAAATCAAAATTAGACTGAAGCTTGATAAAAACGTTAACATTTTGTAACATAACGCTTTTAAATCAAAATGTAAGCGGTGCATATGGCAACACCAACTTTTGATAAATAAAAATAATGATAGAATGCTTTACTACTCATAAATTCAGTAGCATAGCAACTTTAAAGTCAATTTATTAATTGAATACTGCCAATAAAAACAACAAAAAAGATTCTAACATAAAAAATGTCTTCGATGAAATTAAATATGAAGATTGGCAATAATATTGAAGTACCTATTCCTATTTACATTGCTTTTCTATAATTTTGTTCTATTTGACAGATTGTGGATCAAGATACCTATGAATACAAGACAGGAAGGCTAGGAGTGTAGTAGTTTCCAACTAGTCAAATTCAATACTTTTATCCAAATGTCAAAACGATACTTTTCTATGAAATTTGTATGGAACTCTAAATTTTGACGTCATAGTATTTTTGCGTCAAATAGCTTACTTATTTCTTAAAAATTAGCTAAAAATTATAATATAATATATATAGTTATTTTTCAATATTTTATTAAATTAAAACGTCGAATTAATTTATTTTTTACCTAGGAAACTACCAAACAATTAAGCGCAACTTGTGAAAGAATGGATAAGTTATAATATGAGTTGTCTCCAGTACTTTGACAACCATTGTCAATATTATTCTGATTAAATCGGTTCACCTTACACCATGCGAAAATCGTTTCAGTTAGTCAAAGACTACACATTCCTCCTTCACGGCTTTATTATTAAAACAAAGTTTTTCTTTAGTCTTGGTCTAAACCGTTGAGCCAGTTTCTGTATTTCGAATCGAAGGTGGATGGGAATAAGATTCAAAATACAAAACCTGACTCAATATTTTAAATCTAGACTAAAAATAAGTCTTATTTTGTAATAAGGAGGTCAAGTTTCTATGATCCACAATATGTCAAATAGATAGGACTATTAATTTAGTTCTGACCCTAGAGCTAACACGTCTATATGCACCAGTAAATACATAAATACATACATACACATGTATAATGAAAAACCAGTCTGCAAGACTACCAGTAACAATCTGACATCATAAAAAATAATTTTTCATCTTGACAACATTGTATAATTAAAATATACTGTCAATTCTATACATACAGGTTTATTTTGTACTATTATTATTTTAAAGTGCATTGGTAGGAATTATCGATGTTAATTTATTGCAAAGAAATCGTGTGGTATACGCGTATAGTGTTACTGAACTTATCTGAACTGGATTCTTAGACAAATGGCTTTTAAAAGTAAGTTGAAAGAGCGAGTAGATTCACTGTATGGTTTTGATAGGTGTCGTGGTGGTCGGAAGGTTAAGGCAAGCACTTCCCATGCTTGAACCCACTTCCTATACACATGGGGGTGTATAACGGTATGTACGCCCCCTTCCATATGGGGGATGGCAGTTTCTTAGACTTTTAAGAGACCATTGACCGGGATAATCATTGTGAGGAAACCTGGACTTATAAGTTTAAAATCACTGAACCTCCTTCTACAAACGTGGTCATTAAAATACTTACTTAGTCTTTGCTCAATGATAAAAAGAGGCATTTGCTTAGCAGTGGGCTCTTATAGGCTTTAGATGATCATTGTCATAATTTGTTGAATATCATTGACATACAGTAAACTCTTCATACATTGGATCTATTTGCTTTTTCGAATGCGCTTTATATTGTCTAAGAATGTGACTAAGATCTTTAGGTCGAGTTAAGCCAGACAGACGCTTTCACATCAAGCTTCCTCGAACAGTCCAATAGAGTTTCAACTTAGTGTTATTGTAATAAAGTTGAAAAATAATAAACAATTAAGGATAGCTTGATGTGCCTGAGTAAACATTAGGTCCTTAGTTCAGATAAGTCAGTAATATAAAGAGAAAAAACATGAAACCTTTGTAAATATAACTTCATTAGAATACAGGTACAAATTGAATACCTTATTATAATCCCGAACATCTCTATTTTTACAATTAATCTACTAACCAATTTTGTCACATGCTTGCTGTATAACAGAGAAAATTATGCGGAAAATCTCATCTTATCTATGACATTTTTAATCTGTTATGTTTGAGAACTGTCAAAATCAAATGACGTTTACTTTTACATGTCATTTTGACAGGTTGTTAACATTATTATCATAGAATTTGTAGTATTTTTGTCATAATATCGTTTCCCGCATGATTTCCTCGATTATCAAACCTCTACCGTTCTAAACCCATAGTCAATAGTCTACGTATATGGTAAATATTTATCGATCTCTCATAACATAATCGACCAATAACAGAAGGCTATTTTTCACAATATCCATAAGCTCGGCCTGTGATTGGCTAACGCTGTAAAGTAAAACAATCACAGAACCGAAATATATTGACAGCGTATTTATTGAACATCAGGCTTGTATACTGAATTTGAAATAACAAACAGATTAACAGTTTCTTCAAAGAATTTTGGCTTTTATTGCATACAAATAAAGATGTCTTTGAAAACAAAAAAAAATTGTATGTTTCTGCAGTTTTAATAAGTCTTATAACGAAGACGATAAAAGTCAAAATCGTTCGAATAAACTGTAAATGTCCTTGTTATTCCAAATTTTTTATATGTACGTATATTATTTAGCTTACAATTACATACCATTGTTTAATCTACCACCAGGTGGCGCTAATTGAGAGAGAATCAACAGTTCGTTTCATTTTCACGCTTGGTAGGCAATTTAAGGACAGGAATTTATTGAACTGACAGCGCCTAACTCGCTAGTAGCGCCACCTAGGGAGTGCGAAAATAAGATAACTGTAATTGAATTCTGACTTTAGCTTTTAATAATTTGCTAAATAATATACTTTAGTAACAGTTTCAAAGATGGCGTCTAAACACGATATATAGGAAATTTCAGAAGAGAATTTATACATATTTTTCCTAGTGTAAAGATGTGTTCCGTGAATATTTTATGGCACGTTTGCAAAGACTCGGCAAAAGTCCACAAACACAAGCGTGTCAACAGGCTGTTTGGCGTGGCTTGTGTGATCTTGTTAGAGCTTGTCGGAGATCAGATCCAGTGTCAGTTTTTGGACACATTTGTGTAAAGACTTAGAGTTTGTGGGCGTTTGCCAAGTTACGGCAAGCGTGTAAACGTATCATTACGTGTAATATATAGAATCGAGTTGTTATCACAATATATTAAGACCACAAAAAAATAGTCAACATTAATAATTATTCACGGAATTGGTATAATAATAATAAAGTGCGCGTCCTAGGTGGACTGACGACATCGTCAGTCAGCGGGGAGTCAATGGATGCAGGTGGAAACGTGTCGTTCGATGTAGAGGACTAAGGGGGAATTTTGTCCAGCAGTGGACGTCTTCCGGCTGATGATGATGATCATGATTCACATTCCATTATTATTAACGGTATAAACTCCGTTGGGTAGAATAATGAAGAAAACTTTGTCTTAAAATTTTATTCAATCTAACTAAGGGACTAAGGGCTGATTTTTCAATGGTCAGATAAATGTTATCTGAGGAATAAAATTGTAGCTGTCACTGTCTTATACAAACATTCTGACGCGACAACATCATAATTATTCCACAAAAAACCTTTATTTAACCACTGAAAAATCTGCCGTAAATAGATTAAAACTATAAAATAAATACAAACTATTCTATTTTATCAGTATTTAGCCGCCATCTTTGCTATAATATAGCCTGTATAGACTAATTAGCCGTCACAATGAACAAGAGATTATTAAAGTCTATAATAAAACTCTAATTATCGCTAAGCGGGAAGCGAGACACAACCATCTAGCAGAGCCATTCGCACTGCGGTTTGCGCTGGAAGAGAGAAAATACTATTTTAATACATCTATTGTGTAAAGTGTAAAATGACAGCCTCAGGCTAAGAACTCACGGAGCGATTTTCGCCCGCGTCCGCTGCGGTTGCGGGCCCGCAGCTTCTGTAGAATTCAAATATTTATATAAAAAATTAAAGCACATTTCACGACGCGTTTTACGCCCGCGGTGTACGCGGTTGTATGCGGCTCCCGCTGTACCGGCGGGCAACTAGTAGAATCGCGCGGGCCGCGGTTACCCGCAGCCTCGGCGGGTGGTACCCGCTCGCTTTGCGATCGGTTGGCGAGCGACCGCGGGACCGCCCGCCACGTTTGCGGGCGATGATCGCAACCGCGGCGGCTGTGTAACCGCGCAAATAACCGGTCTCGTGAGTTTGGAAATAAAACCGCAGTTCCGCTACCGCAGCGGGCACGGTTCAAAATCGCTCCGTGAGTTCTTAGGCTCACAGAGAACCGACGTGAAGCAACCACAGCGTTGTGTGTTATGAGAGAGGTCACCGGAGGCCCAATCCTCTACTTCCCTCATCTGTTCCTGACTCCTATTTGTTGTATTGTCTATGATTAGTAATACTAATCAATGTCGCACTATTATTGTCTATGTCGTCATATCACTATAAAGAGGGTGGCCGAGCGAGTGTTGGCCATTGACAATGTAACTCTGGTGGAGTGAGCTGCACGACTGTGTACTGTATAATTAAAGTCAAGTATCTAAGATCCAAGTCTTTCAATCTTATTACACTATTATCTGAAATCCTAGTTCCCAAAAGGCCGGCAACCCACCAATGTTTACGGGTGTCCATGGTCGGCGCCGATTGCTTACAATTAGGTAATCCTACCGTATAAAAAAAGATTTTTCCTAAATATCGTCCACATGACTGTCAGAACTTTTAGTGGATCAAGAACTGAACGTTTTTTTTTGTAACTAGTAATATTTACTACTAATAGTGTAAAGTACTAGCACAAGTAATAAAATAAAAAATACTAGATGTGTGTGGCACTAGTATTTTTAATTTTATTGTTATTTTGTTATAATGTATTTTGTTTTCTATTGTCTTTGGCTTAGGAATTAGGAATTCTCTTGTATTGTATTAGGAAACTCTTGTGATATAATAGTTGTATGTTGGTAATAAATAAATAAATCGAAGGAAACATTTATATGCTGCAGTACATACGAGTATAAGTAGGCGCGGTCACCAGATCGCGGGCGCGACGTCATCGGGGAATCCTGCCTCGCGCGCCTTCCAGTACTCCCCGTTGAACACCCACGTTTCTTCGCCGCTCTCCAGGGTTTTCCTGTTATTTAGAACGTATTACACATGAACTTTATGTACTAACTAGATGACCCGGCAAACTTCGTTTCTCTTCAAATATTTCCGTGGACATAATATTTCAAGGCCATAATTTACCAAATCAAACCAAAAGAGGGATGGAGCTTATACACTTTTTATAGCTCCATCCCTCTTTTTCGCCCGAAAGATTCACGGTTTAACACGTCATGGTAGGCCCTCGGTACTTCTCGAGTTTTAGCGAGACTAACCAGCAGATGTAGTAATGGGACTTCATTTTATTTTTTTCTCTTGAAGTAACAAAAATCATCAAATGACAACTCTCGCCCAGGGTATAATATAGCGAGAGGGAGTGTCAGACTCTTACACTGACTAAAAACCCCCCGTTCCTTCTCCTGCTCTGGGCCGAGGCCGCGGTACATTGTGCTTACCCCGCAACCCGGGCGGAACATCAGCCCTATAGGCCCGTCTGTGGTGGTCTATTGGCTCTTAGGAATCCATTTTTAGTATTAAACGGTATAAAGAGTAATATAGTACCGGAACCATGCAGGTAGATGCAGCGCGTCGTCCCTTCGTCGGTCCCGCTGCGCCTGTTCCAGCTGGTGCTTCAGCTGCTCGGCCGCCTCCACGTCGCCCTCCTCCAGCGCGCGCTGGTCCGGCCTGCAGGGGGGGGAAAAGAACGTTAAAATTTTAAAGAAGCCATCTTTTGCACGTCAAAATTGTATATGGAATAAAAAAAACTAGATGAAACCAGTGGCGTAGAGGACGTGGCTAGAGTAAAGCAAATAACTGAAATGGTTATAGGCTCCAACGTTACTTGAAATTTGTCGAGCGTCCTCATCGAACAGTTACGTAAATCGACGAAATAAAAGACCTTTTTTACACAAACAAAAAAAAGGAGCAGAATTTAAAAATATTATACTCCAATGGGCTTCATAAAGCCTTTGATCTTTGATATGATGATGTTAAGCTTATTTATCAATATAACAATAAGTTACCTGAGTCGTGTGTCAGTATGTGGCAGAGTCCCCCGCATGGCGGGCTCGAGCTCGTTGAGTTCCATCGCGAACCGAGTAAATCCGTAGTACAACTCGTGTTCCGGGGGCATCGCGCCTGCAACATACAGAGTATATTAATAGTAAAAATTTAAATTTATTAAATATAAAGCTCATAATCTAGAATAAACAGTTTTGCTTAAAGCAAGTTCATAATATTGTGCCTGAACTAGGACAACCTGTGTTTCAGGCGAAAATTTAATTGTTAAATAATCATGAGTACATAATTGTTTTTAAATAAAGGAAATAATCCTACTATTCATATTAAAAATAACAGGATAAAAAGATATTTAAATTCAATGTCTACGTTTAGTTAAACAAAAACAAAAAAAAAAAAAAAATCAAAAGAGAAAACGAGACGAGTTGTGGAACATATTTTTCGTAATGGCGGGAAAAAATAAACAGTTTACCTATGCGCGCGCAACGGACATAGACTAAATATTGATGTTTCTTTTTTGGGATTTTCGCGGTTAGTAGTTTAGCGCAAGTGTAAACAAACTCAACCAATAATTAAAAATAAATATTAATGAAAAAGTCAGTTTGATTATAGGTGTCATTACATCTATTACCAACATTAATTGCCGCGGGATTAGAGCCACTTTATGAGGAAGTGTGTTGAAAAAAAAGTTAAGTTTTTATAAGTCTATATAAAAAATTGCGAATAGACAGGAATAGAAGATCAACTTCTTTTGATTCATTTGTTTAATCCATAAGGGTATACTCCATAATATCAAGCAGTATAGGCATAATTACCGGGCCTCCAGAGACACCTAGCGGCGGGCGGGTCCCCAGCATACAGGGCCTCGGACCAGCGCCCCGCTAGACGCAGTCGGGCTCCGCCCCCCTGCACCATGCCGCGTACCTCGTGTCTACTGCTGGACCACGAACTTGCCTGCACAGCAAACATCACAACATTAAATTGACAAATATACGGCTTATTGCCATCCGAGATAGCTATGCTTATGAGTCTCGGTCATGGCTTGAACGTTAACGAGTATCACTTGAAACAGTTCGCGAGTAAAGGTGCAGTTCCATTGAGGTGGAGCGGAGAAGAGCTGTGCCGCGATTCGCCAATCACATGACTTTGTTCCATCACATCTGTTCTCCGCCCTGCTCCGCTCCGCCTCAATGGAACTGCACCCTAATGCTCGGGTAACCTCGCTCACACAGCACTGTGCTGGCTTTGTTTAATATCAGAATTCCTTGAATGATATCATTTTAATTGACCCAGCCCAAGATAAAGGAATTACTTCATGTTTAAATGTTCCACATGAAAGTTATGGTTGGGAAACTCTAAAAGAGGGTCTTAGTACTTTTGTTGGAGCGGGCGGCAGCTCGACAACTGGCTGTCGTGCAATGTGTCGCGATATTGATTCCCGCACTGATCAACTCTTTTTCACAAATTATTGTTGCGGATCTATTATTGTAATATTAAAGTTGAAATCGTATGTTTTTAAAAGCACCTACGATACATAAAAAACATCTAGAGAGGCAACAATTAAAACAATAACTGAAATACATTACCTACAATGTTAATTTACTTCATGGAGTGTAAGTTCAATTATGTCTGCTTTTTTTATGGCATAAGTCGGCAAACGAGCAGACGGATTACCTGATGGTAAGCGATCGGCGCCGCCCATGGACACCCGCAATACCAAAGGAGTTACGAGTGCGTTGCCGGCTTTTTGGGGATAGGGATTGCGTATATAAGGATCGGGAAGTGATAGGGGAAGGGGCGAGATTGGGTCCCTGCTTACCTTGATAAAGTTGAGTTTACACGTGATGTCGGTCCCGTGGCAGGCGATGTGCATGTCCCCGTACTGGTCCACCCAGCGCTGACCGCCGAACAAATTGTGGACACAAGTCGTTACCTACAAGTATTTTAAGGAACAGATGAATAAAAAAAATCTATACCTATAATAAGGAACAAATTTAATGAATCATAGGATAATGGGTGTAAATTAACATAACTATTACTAAAACAATATTCTAATAGTACCACGGAATAGACGGTGTTTTGATAAAAATAATATTTTTTTTATCTGTCCGTGTCTATCCGCATTGGTTTGGTTAAATATTTTGCAAATCAAAAAAAAAAAATATTAAACTGGTAGTTTACAAGCCCATTAGTTTTTATTGACACGTCAATAATATATAACTTTCAATGAATTTTGTATATCACAACATAATTATGACGTCATACTGATTTTACGCCAAATACTATACTTATTTCTAAAATAAATTAAGTAAGTATTTCAATCAAATCAAAAAAGTATGGTTATATTTTAATTACTGTCTTGAAAAGCCAAAATAATTTATTTTTAACCCAGTAAACTACCGAAATGATACACAACTTATAATACAATATTCTTGAATGAAATTTCAAAAAAGTTCTTTAAAGTAACTTAAAAAAAACCTTACCAATAAGAAAATGAACTTAAAAAAAAACAATATCTTACTTTATTCCAACTATAATGGTCTCCAGTAGTAAGTAACTTGACATGGACTCGCCCCGTGGGCTGGAACTCCATGGACTTGCCCCAGAACTTGGTCTTGATCCTCGCTTCCTGCCAGAAGCACCACCGGGTGGATTCTGCGTGACACGCTGATATTGGGGGGTGATGGGAAACCTGAGGATACAGAAATTACTTTTGAGAAATAATTCTTTTTGAGGTAAAGCAAGGGAGAGCCAAGCTTCGGAACGAATGGATCGGCTCGACTGGTGTGATACCACGGCCTCACAGAAAACCGACGTGAAACAACCACAGCGTTGTGTTTCGCCACGTAAGTGAGGTTACCGGAGGCCCAACCCCTCTCCCTGTTCTGTGCGGGAATTGAACTCGCCCCGTTGCAATTAATTGCGTAGCCACCGCATCAACCGTACAATCGAACGAATTATAGTGTAATCCATTTCGTCTTTTAACTTCTCCTCAAATAATATCTTCTGATTTAATTCGTTGCGGGATCCAAGACAGACATACATGTCCCTGAAACGCGCCAGACTTTAGTGTTTTGGTGTTTTCATGGTTGTATCTACTTTAGATGTTGGCTTACAATTGTAGCAGCGGTTTCGGGAAGCTGCGGCGGGCTTATCCAAACTAATATTAAAAATGCGAAAGTAACTCTGTCTGTCTGTCTTTTCTTCACGCCTAAACTACTGAACCGATTTCTGTGAAATTTGGTACAGACATAGTTTGGCACTCGATAAAGGACATAAGGATAGTTTTTATACAAAAAATCTGCAGGAATTCACTATTGCAAGCGAACGGAGTCGCGGGCAAAAGCTAGTTAGTACCTAATAAAAATTTATAAAATCTTATGGACGAAAACATACCTGTTCGGCAATAAACCGGAACCCTTTATCATCGCGGACGCACTCGTATGTCTCAGCCAGTAACGGATTGAATGGTTTGGAAGCGGCGCGGTGAGCTGAGGATGCGTAAGCGCTCACTGCAAACGCTGCAATTAGAGCCATCCGTTCGATTGGGTTCTTGCACTCAGCCGCCGAGTCTAGGAGCTCAGAATACTCTAGCTCTTCGCATAGTCGCTGTGGAAGAATTTTTTAGGGGTTAATTATTATTAATAATGCCTAAATAGGTAGCTTGTACGTGTTGTTTAGTAATAGGGCTTACATCAATGAAATATTCGAGAAAGGCTCTACTGGTTTCAAGTCACACCGGGACTCATATAAGATCCTATATTTTTAAACATTGCCGAGTCCTAGGATTTTCTCCTGTGTCATGGGTGTTTTCACAAACACCCAATTTCACATACACATCACACCCAGACCAGGAACAACAATTTGTGGATTACACAAGGAGTTGTTCCGTGCGGAAATCGAACCCGCAAAACTTAGCGCGGCAGCCAGTTGCCCAGCTACTGCGCCAAACTGGGGTTACTAATCATTATTTTATTTTGATACAAAAATAACTTTGGACGGCCTCCTTCATCTAAATCAAGGCAAAATTGACCTTTAATTAGATTTGAATGAACCAAATTACTTTACATCACAAAATAAGTTGTATCTACATCCATTTTTGTATTTTTTTTTTGGTACAAAATTTTAAGATATCCCACAAAAAATAACATCCAATCAAAAACATCTCACCTGCAGCATATTAAGAGGCTCATTAATAGTGACAGGCATGGAGATCTGACTTAGATCCTTGCCAATATTCTTGTAGAGCAGGTTCCATAGACTGGGCCCGCCGGGGGTGGGTCGCGTGGACGGTAGCCGGGTTCTACGCGACCAGCCCGCCGGGTGGGCCGCCGGGTCCGTCGCTCGAAGTGTTACCTGCTCCGCCGACACTACTGACAGATATTTGAAGTCAAGTTATGATCCCGTTTTTTAAGGGTCAAGGTCCAATTTTACCATTTAACTCAATACTCAATAGAGATAAGAAAAAACTTGAGAAGGGTTCGTTTTGGGTTTTTTTTTGAAATGTCATGCGATGCGATCATGGTTTTTCGCAATTTATTAAAGTTTTGGCCAACACGCAATTTTGTAGTAAAATTGTAATCATTATTTTAAGTGCAGAAACATGTTATTATTATTAATTTTTCGATAAAATTGGACCTTAGAACGAGTGATATAGAATGTGTGAGAATACTTCAAATATAAACAGGGGATTTGAGAGAAACAGAAAGAGAGTGAGAAAGGGGAGCTCATATTTTTTGACAATTTAAATACACATGGATAACTACTAGGCTTTATGTTTCATTTACAGTGTTTCAGGGGCCGAGGAAAGTACTAGAAGTGCCAGTGAAATCATTGGATTAAAATGTATTCTTTAGTCAAAGTTGTAGCTGTTATATTTCAGCATAAAACATTGTAAATGAATCATAAATTAATTGGGTGGTTCCCTAGGTGAAAAAACAAACATGATTTTTAATACAGTGAAGTATTACAACATGACCATACTTCCATTCATTGATTTGTCAATATGACACATTTTTCTATAGATATATTTACCCGAAATATTGAACACATTAAAACTTTAAAAGTGAAGACATAAACATGCAGACAGTCTACAAATAGTGCGGTTTTACTACGACATTATATTCATTATAAGCTTCTTATCCCCCAAATTGACGCATAGGTAGGGTAAAATATAATCAATAAACATATATACACGTAAGCCTATCAAAAGGCGTAATAATAGCTTACGGAAATATTTCGTCCTGTACAATATTACAAAGAGTCATTTGGCGATTGAACTTAAAGAATTAAAATAGACCAAAGTATATTTACAAAGGCGTGCATTAATATAAAATACAGAGCTGTGTTTATATGCAACTAGCTACTCTCACGCGGTTTCACCCGCTGCTCGGCTCCATTTGATCGTAGCGTGATCTTTTATAGCATCTATAGCACTCAGGAATATTGTAGGTATCTATCAGTGAAAGAATTTTGGCAACCCGACCAGCGGTTCCAAAGATTACTACCTACATACAATTATGCACCGCGACCCCTCAGAACGGGAGAAGGAACGGGGTGATATGAGTTAGTAAGAGTTTTTTTTATGTAGAAATGAAGTCGGCAAACAAGCACACGAATGGCTTGGTTGTAAGCAACCGGCACTGTCTATGGAGTACTACGAGTGCGTTCCCGGCCTTTTTGGTTTAGGGTTTCGGATATTTAAGGATTGGAGAGGGCTGGTGGAAGGGAAGGATTGTGCCTTTGGTAGCGTCACTCACACTCCCTCTCTCCTCACAGGGCAGGAGAAGTCATTTGTTGACTTCCCCTTCGTAGAAAGAGTGTTTTGTTGATAAGTGAATAATAAAAAATAAGAGCAATGTTCCCTACATTTTTCATAGAAAATGAAATAGGCAAAAGCTAGCTAAGGACGGCTTTTACTCACAGAGTGGTCCAGGCCCTCGGATGACCAGTATTTTGTTGAGAAATATGAATATTATCTCCCTACCTTTTTCATAAAACATGGACAGGCCAAAAGCTAGTTACGAACGGCTTATTACTTACAGAGCGGTCCAGGCAAGCGTGTTACAAAGCAGTTAGTGATACGACACACAATGTAAACTCACTCGCACCGTCAGAGTTGTCGGAACTGGCTGAACCTTCCTCGCTGCTTAGGGAGCCCGCTTCTGACGAGGAGTCGCCTTCCAGCTCTATCACTCCTGACTGGAAAGTGGAAATATAAGAAATTGTTCGAGTGTGTTGTTACCTTTTTTTTCTAATATATTCCCTTATTGTTCACATGTTAGCATTTGCAATAGCAAGCATTAGAACATTCATACTGCTTATCAAAACGTCTTTATTAGGAGATTGTTACTAACATTTGAAAACTTATCTTTCACGGTATTCCGTGACATGAAATGATATTCAATTTTGTGATGATGATGATGGTGATCTTGCTCCAAACTAGTATTTTCATCTGCATCATAAGTGCGTTTACAAACATACAATAAAACATATACATCATACCCAGACGAGAGAGATGTGATCAACAAATTGTTGTAGGAAAAAAGATGTGGATCACATCTAGAGTAGAGTATACGCCTGTACTTCTCGTGACCTCTTTAACTATATTCGTGTATGTTTGTTTCTTGCGTCATTTGTGTGTGAAATAAATGGTTTTTCTTTCTTTCTTTCTTTCTTTCTTTCTTTCTTACTTTTACTTTTACTCGACATTAAAAATACTGCTTTAAAATTAGTTACCCAATACAATAAAGGAACACAAGTCAGTACCTCATCAGCGGCTATGATCTCAGTGGGTTTGTGGTCGGAGTCGTGCTCCTCCGCGTCGAAGAACTCGGAGGCAGACACACAGGACGAGCTATAGCTTAGAGACTGCTGGAACTGGCGGTTATTTACCTGGCGAGACGATATGTTTGCGTATTAATAATTTAGTAAGTAGTAAAATAGTTATTAGACACTATATTATATTGAAGCTATACATTCAATATTTTGCTCACACGACAAATATAAGAGCACTAGCCGGTCTTTTGGGGATTTGAGGATTTTGGATGCGCATAAACATAACCGTGAATCACATTATTATAATATTTAAATTGTAGGAGAGCCATGTTTCGGCACGACTTGATCAGCTCGACTGGAGCGAAACCACGGCCTCACAGAAAACCGACGTGAAACCACCACAGCGTTGTTGTGTTTTGCCGTGTGAGCGAGGTTACTGAAGGCCCAATTCTTCCCCTACCCCAATCCGCTCCCTTTCTCAAAATCTCCAAATCCCTTATCCCCAAAAGGTCGACGGCGCACTCGTGACTTCTCCGTCGTTGCGGGTGTCCATGGGCGACACCGATTGCTTACCATCAGGTAATCCGTTTGCTCGTTTGTCGAACTATAAAATAAAAAATGTGCCATAAAAAATAAAATATATAACTATCTTGATTTACATAGTTTTACTTACAGCATCGGAGTTGGGTCCAACGGACGATATCTCCGCGAGGTCGGAGGCGTCGTGTATCCGCGACAGTCGGGACCGGAGCTCTGCACGAAACACTTCACTCGTCATTATTTACGTTTATCAGTTTTGGGCTATATGCGGAGCAAACATGGGCTTCGGGGTGCTAGGGAGAGGACGTGGTTATTATGCTTTGGTTGTGCCTAAAATCCTACTAATCCTACTAACCTACTATCCTACTAATCCTACTATCCTACTAATCTACTAATATTATAAATGTGAAGTTTGTGAGAATGTATGTTATTTTTTCCACGCAAAACATTTGGACTGATTTGTTATGTGGTTAACAGATAGGCTACCATTAACGGCGGAAGGTACATTAAAGCAACGACAATGAAATTTCTTACGCCATTCGTCTTTTATAATTTTTTAAACCAAATATCAATTTTTTTTTGCTATTTGTAACTCAATATCGTATGGTATGATAATAAATCATTATATGGCAGTAATGACATGTGTGTGTTCACACGATAATTACAATACCAACATATTTGTAAAACGTACTTGTACCATTTTACATAATTTCTTCTTTTTGTTACCTTTATTAGCGAAGTTATACTGAGCTACAAATTGCAAAAACCGTAAAAGCATTTTATAATAATCATACATGAATGGAAGTGTAAATTAACTAAAAATCGCAAGTTGCTCACGTGTATAATATTGAGAAAAGCTCTACTAGTTTCAAACCACAGAGTGCTAACCATCCAATCAGCACGACGATGCAGGCACCAACTCTAACCAGTAGGCTGCGCGACATCGCCGCGAGAACCCCTCTGTGCTTCGAAACTAGTAGAGCTTTTCTCAATATTACACACGTGAAAAACACGCAATTTTTAGTTAATTTAGTATGTCTCACGATAGTTATTATAAAAATGGAAGTGTAGTGAACAATTTCAAACATTGTTGAAAATAACGATAAATACTCACTCATGATAAAAAATTAGTGATGATGAGACAAATAAATACTCATGCGAATCCACCGCGAAGCGCTAACTCAGTTCACTAAGTCGACTGCGCGACTTAAGACTAGCAAAGCTTTTCTCAGTTCATTCTCATGATTATTTTCTATAGATTTAATATGCCACATTTTTTTTTAAAAAAGGAAGCCCCACAGTACGATTTTCTCCTGTGTCGTGGGTGCGGTTACAAACATACACATGACACCCAGACCCGGAACAACAATTTGTGGATCACACAAAGAGTTGTTCCGTGCGGGAATCGAACCCGCGACACGTTACACGGCAGCCAGTTGCCCAGCCACCGCGCCAACCGTGCAGTCAGTCAGATTTAATATGCCTCTTTATACTTACTATTAAATAATAAGTGTGGGAGAGTCATGCTTAGGCACGAATGGGTCGGCTCGACCGGAGTGATACCACGGCCTCACAGAAAACCGGCGTGAAATAGCCACAGCGTTGTGTTTCGCCGTGTGGGTGAGGTTACCGGAGGCCCAATCCTTCCCCTCCCCCAATCCCTTCTCAATCCCTAAAAGGTCGGCAACGCACTCGTAACTCCTCCGTTGCGGGTGTCCATAGGCGGCGCTGATTGCTTACCATCAGGTAATCCGTCTGCTCGTTTGCCGACCTATTACATCAAAAAAATATAGTTCAAAGTTTGTCTATAAGAAAACTATTAGAACAGATTTTTAGGCAAAACTGCCAGACATGAATGCTTTCTTCCAAGTATTTCTATCATAAACCCTCATCTAATAAGCGATAAAACCTCTACAACACTTATAATGCAGTCTCACCGGAATTCTGTTGTAATGCTGTAGTGAGGTTAGTTCGTAGCGCCGCCATGACAGCGCCCGGTGTTGAAGCTGTCTCCGCCGCGTCCATTGCCGCTCGGAGACGACCCCGCTCACAAACCTGTGAGGAAAAACGGAGATGAAACGCTAACATTATAACGAACAAATATTAATTGTAGAAGAAGTAAAGGAGATTCGTCATCATCAAGCCGTGGTTCAGCATGAAATGACCGGAGTGATACAACAGCCTCACAGAAAATAGGCGTGAAACAACCACAGCGTTGAGTTTCGCCGTGTGAGTGAAGTCACCGGAGGCCCAATCTCCGCCTCCCACCGTCGCTTCACAATCCTTAAATATCCGAAAACCTTATACCTAAAAGGCCGGCAACGCAATCGTAACTCCCAAGATATTGCGGGTGTCGATGGGCGGCGCTGATTGCTTACCATCGGGTAATGCGTCTGTTCGCTTGCCTATCTATACCATAAAAAAAGATACAAATATTATTTTTTTAGTGTCTCGTACTCACTGTTATTTATTTCTTCTTCACACAAATCAGTGTGAATGGCGGACCATAGGGTGGTGTAAAGGAATCAAAATGGTAGTTCCCAACTAGTCAAATTCAATACTTTTATCTAAATGTCAAAAACTACACTTTTCTATGTAATTCGTATGAAATACTGAGTTATGACGTCATAGTATTTTTAGGTCAAATAGCTTACTTATTTCTTGAAACATATCTAAAAATTAGTGTATCGATCGATCGATCAATAAAAGTATACCGACATAGTTATTTTTCAATATTTTATTGCATTGAAGCGTCGAATTAATTTATTTTTGATCTAGGAAACTACCCAATTAATCCTATTATTATTCTTTAATACGTTGAATGCCATGAGGACAACATGTGGGTCACGCTAGCGGAGGATTTGCTCTCAATCATTTTTCGGCTGTTTAGCTGTCAATGACTTATATAATCTTGTGTGTCCGAAGATTAACAACACATACTACATAATTTTATTAACACACGTCAATATGAACTCACCAACGTAGCCACGACAGTTTTCAAGTTCGCGACTAAATCCTTGGCTAGAACTGTAAAATCTTCTCTGAGCTGATGGTCAGGAGTTAGGCTGGTGAGGGAAGCAGGTCCTGGAGCCGTCGCCAGGGTCTCGGCGCCAGGCAACGACTGGGGACGAGCTGCTGCACATGCTGCAAGCCAATGATGACAATTATTGAAAATGCAAGCTAACTGGTATGATGCTCTTTACTTTTTGCATAATGGGATCTAATATACTGTGGTATAATTTTGTTTTATCTTTAAATACAACGTCTAGCAGCTCAATCTACAGCAATCAGGCAATAATTCCATTGAACTTTCAACTTTATATCAAACGTTATAAAGTTGAAACTGTCATAAAGAAACGGTGTAGGTTGATCTGCTGGGCACTGTATACTCAACAATGTATGTATGACACATAATTTGTGTAAATTATGCCCTTTCCGAAACTTTATACAAGCCAAAATAATACTAAAGAATATTAGAATAAAAACCATTATGCAAAAGAAGAGAGCTCTCTGATTGAATTTTGATATGTGAACAGCTGTGTAGTGACGCTAACAATAAAGTTTTAAAAACTTGTGAAGATTACTAGTGATATGCACCGTGTCTTGTGGTTGCGCAAGTTTGCGCAAATATTGAATGTTGCGCAAAGATTTTTGCGCAAACTATTTTTTGAATAAATAATTTCGTGTAGCGTAAAGATCATTTTGTTGTGATTTATCATTGCAAAATATGAACGAATAGATTTTAAATGTCTTCCTGCAAAATGATAGGTGGGCTTTATTGACGTAAAGCAGGTGATTGCAATTTGGCAATTTCATTGAGACGACAGACGCAAATTTCTTCAATAAATTTAACACCTTAATACTTACAAATAAAGTTTGAAATCTATTAAAGAAATTTGAGTTTCTGTAAACGGTTAAGAAACACCTTTTCATACTCATATGTGAAGCAAATCATGCTTAAACCAGGTTTTGAAATGGAAGGTGCTTGCAGATTGAGATGTTGAATGTAGCTTTACAAAAATATCATTGTATACACTTAATTTAGGGTTGATTTTTCAATATCTAGTTGTTATCTGAGGAACAAAATTGTTGCTGTCACTGTCTTATACAAACATTCTGACGCGACAGCATCATAATTTATTCTCCAGATAACTTTTATCTAACTATTGAAAAATCAGCCCTTAATCTAATATTTGAGTAAGGACTATTAATCTTAGTTTACCAGAAAAAGTCTGCGTTACCTGTAGCCGTAACTGAACACGAGTATTCAAAAATTAATATTAAACTGGCAATTAATTATTATTACTTATTAAATGACTGGACAGTTGACGCAGTGTTTGGACAATGGACTGCTGTGCAACCGGCCAGATTAGATTCCCCCACGGAAGAACTCTTTGTGTGATCCACAAATTGTTGTTTCAGGTCTGGGTGTGATGCTTGTGAAATTGTAAGTTTGTAACCACGAACAAGAAGAAAATTCTAGTATAGCGCAATATTTTAATAAAATAAAAGTTATAACTACATACATAGATGATGTTACAGGTTGTAGAAGGTTACTAAAACTTTTTAAGATATGGATTTGAATATTATCTTTTATGAAAGAATAGCTCAACGTAAATATAGTTAAAATCAACCCGACTTGTGAAACAAAATTGATAATAACTTAGCTTTTTTAAGATCGTTGAGAATGATTTAAAAAAATTTAATGTTGTACAACGTAACGATTGGGCGTTTAGAAATACGCACATCACACCCAGGCGAGGGAAAAAATGTGGATCACAAAAAAGAGTTTTTCAGTAAGGGAATCGAACTTTGCACAGCAGCCAGTTGGAAAACCACTGTTGTACACTTGTGTAGTCAATTTAAAACATAAGAGAAGTACCTGTCCTAAATCATATAAATTTCTTCTATCTAACTTAGTATAATATTCTTATAAAACAAATAAAAAAACATGACTAATACTTTATTATCTTAAGTATCTCAAACTAATGAGATAATTAAAAACAAACTTCACTCGACTAAATACTATAGTAAGTACTAATAATTTTCTATATACCTACTGTCATCATACTTATTTTGATTACTACACAACTTTAATTACAGAAACCGTATGGATAACGACCAAAGGTATTAAAATCTTTTTTGTAAAATATAAAACGATACCGATTTTGAGCCTGTTTCTCCTCTTTCAAATAAAAACCCCCTATGCCCCTATGTGGCACATAATTAATACAAATAACGTTTTAAATTAAAATTGTTCCGGTACATATCGATCGTGAAACAGACCCATTGTTGCACTAACTATTATTATTACAATCAACACTACTTTGATCCCTAACTACCTTAAAAAAGGAAATAAAACTCACATTTTCGACACACTTCCTCTCTCAAAACTTGAGTAATATACTTGAAGATAGTTCTAGCATAGAATAATAGTAAACCATCGCTGTCTCTCCCCATACTTTTAAATTAACACTTTTTTGAACGAAAACTTCAAATAAAACTCACAATATTAACAAAACTCAGCACGGAAACTTAGAATTTTTAAATTTCCTTATTATTTTTATTGAAAAATTACAATATATGAGAAAATTTCATTCTTTGATTCACGGAAACTACTAGCATATAAAGTCTTGAGTCATTATGCCAGTCTGAGATGACGTTCAAGCAAAAATACACTTCATTATCTTGAGATATGGTTTATTTTTCTTTGTGTCTACAACATATTGAAGTGTAATAGGTACATTAGATAATACAAGATTCTGTTTATCTTTGATAAAGGATTCTGTGAGATAATGTTAAGGTTATACGAGACTTGTGTTGATTTTCTACCTTATTGACTACAGAGAATAAGGTTGAGATTGAATAAGCTATATAAAAAGAGATAAAAATTGATTTGCGATTTGTTTTGACCCGATTAATCTTTTTAATACGTAACGTATTAAAATAACTCGATATATGTCGATAAAACAGCTAAAACAGATTTAGAATATTAATAAATATGCGGGAAAAAATCATTGTTTCTGTATTGTTTTACTGTTACACGCAAATTCACAAAAGAAACGCAAATAATTCGAGTAGAATTTCTTGAAACTAACATTTAAATTAAATATGTGCTATATCAGAGTCGCTTATTCAACGGAACAATGTCCTAGAAAATAAACCGCGAATATCAGTTTCAAATTAAAATCCTTTGTATATCTATGTATCTTTAAACCTATCAACACAAATAATAATAATCATGAAATAAATTAAAGTTTCAACGGGCCTGCGATTAATTGGCTCCGGCCACTCGTACGCCTTTCAAAGGTCCGGTCCGGTCCCTGTTATATATTGTTATATGTGTTTAAAAGATACTCATACAAAAGGCAGTCTAAAACGGTACATATTGTGAGGAGGTTTCTGTCTCAAGAGCCCTAACCACAGCTTGGACCTTGCTCCCGCTGCCGGCTGGCTCCTATTTTTATATTTTTAAATATGATATTATAAAATCAATGCCACTTTTCATTGTAATGTCATAAATCAACAATGCCTTTACCGATTTGGCTGATTTTGGTCTTAAATTATTCGTGGAAGTCTAGCTTGGCTTGTATGGAATATTAAAAAAGTGTAAAATCGACATCCATGCTTGCGGAGCCGCCGGCGATCTCTAGTATTTTATAGTAATAAAATTTTTAGGGGAATTTATATGCATAAATATGTGAAAAAAAAAGATATAAGATTTTCATTCAATCTTTTAGATATGTATATATATGTATAATAATACATAATCCAGCTTTGCCAGCTAAATCCATGCACTATACTGTAGCTTAGTGAGCGAATATGTATGTACAAAATAATGCGATGCGTTCGAATAGGACAAGAAGGGGAAAAACGTAAAATAAAAAGTCTTACGAACTAAAGTGGATGCCAGAAATGTTGATAGAAAAGCTGTAACGGAAAAAAGAAGAGAAATTTTATTATATTTTTCGTTTGATAAGATAGCTTTGCGTTTTATGGAATGACTGGTATAAGCTATGTACGATTTATTTGCATTTTCTTAATCAAATAGTAGTACTTATATGTATAAAAACCACTGCTCTGCACAACCCACTACTGAGCAAAGGCCTCTTCTCACACGGAGAAGGCTTGAGCATAATCAATCACCACGCTTCCTCAAGGCGGATCGGCGATTTCAAACTTATAAGACCAGGTTTCCTCAGGATGGTTAATGGTGCCGAAAAAGGTATTCATAGAAAGTAAAGTGAGATATTAATCTCATGAATGAGAAGCGAGTGCCTTAACCTCCGGGTCAACAAGACACATGATTAAAACAAATAAATAAACATATTCGGCTGCAAAATTCTGAATGATTCTCATATAGCCATCACAACACAACACTTTTATAAAAACCTTTTTTTTTCAAATTTTAAATAAAGTACATAATCTTTACCAGCCATTCCTTTATACAGAGTGTATGTTTACCGCAAACACGATCGTATTTGTACGCTGATAAAGCATAAATTAGCAAGCACCTCATCACATTCGGTATTTATTTATATTAGGAGGTACATTTTACATTATAAAAAGTATAAAATGTCCACCACTACCGAATGTATTTCAAAGCGCGAAATCGTGCGTCCACGCGCGCTATAAGCGTTGAAGCGTAGAAATACGGGCGTATGCGCGCTAAAAATACACGAAGTACAAAACGTCCATATAACCTATTGATGATAGAATCACAATAGCTATTACCATTGTATGAGAAAAATGGACTTAATGTTTAATTTTAGTAAAGTGCAATCATTATTTGAAAATTTATGTAATATGACAAAAATATAGTAAGTAAGTACAGTGAAGCGAAATGAATACAACTATTATCTGACTGATACCATTTGACAATTTGCTCGATTAGTTTCAAGCCACGCGGGGGCTTATAACCATTTCGGTTAAGTAACCAGTTGAGTAAATCTCGTTTATTTTCAGGCTAGCTTTACAATATCATTAATTAAATAAGTTTCATGATGATTAATCATTTGATAAGTTTGGGAATATAAAATGATGAAAACTGAAAAAAGCAAGTTTTTTTTTTGGTAAACTTTGTTACTTATCTTACTACCTGTATTGTATAGAGACATAATTGCTTATAGCCACTGGCGCCAAGCGATTCTCATGCTTGAATGGACATTTTATAACATAGCAGCGCTTTCTAACATTCAAATATGAACCTTAATTATTATTTTGTTAAGGTTTAATTTCAATGCAGTTTACTAAATAAGATAACGAAGATACCGAATCATGAATTTGGATAAAAGCATGAAATATATGAAAAGTGCTACAATTTTTTTCTTGCGCTTAAATACTAGTGACCATAGATTTGTCTTTAAAGAATTTACTAGTTTCAAACGATTGGACATATTGTTTTTGAGAGCGATAGGGATTGATCATACACGCTCTTAGAGCAATAGCGTTATCATGTGGACTCAAAAATAATTATTCTCATTAAAAAAAATTAAAAATTCGCTTATCGTCTATCACATTAATAGAGAACAAAATATAAAGCACTTTACTAGGTACTTTTGTACTCAAAATCCTATGTCAAAGATGGCTCAAAGATCTTCTTTTACGTTTTTTGAAGATTATTTAAATTTACAAAGAAAATTATTAAAAATTCTTATTAATATTAAATTACATTTTTAATTTATTATTTATTAATATTATTTAATGAACGGAGATGACATGACAGCACCAACTCTACAAGAGTTTGACATGCCTAGCCAAATGTCAATGTCACGTGCAAGTGATGGGCGCCATTTTGATTTTATTTATTGTCAGTGCCATGCCAAGGCGGCGCTTCATAATGCCAAAACTTACCGATTTCATAAAATCCTTGTAAAGACATAAGTTTTAAAATAGATATTTGATTGTTTGCTATAAGAAAAAAAATTAAAACGAAATATTTATTTCAACATTTTACTTGACAGTAAAAAATAATAATAAACAAACATGATTATGTAGTTATTATATGTAAATTGTTAGTAAATGTTAATTCTCTTGGTGTTCGGTTTGGGAGGAACAGGGAGGGAGTAGGGAGGCCTAGAAAGAAAATATCTAATCACATATACAATTAATTTGTTTGAGGACATGTAGAGTAAACAAGACCTTTGCTATCTTCATTTCAAGTCGGCATGGTAGAGTTAGCCTTTGTGTATGAGCTATATTTGTCGCTAGATTTTAAATGTTAGTTATAATTAACCACCTTTCATCGTGGAATTATGTAACATTCCCATATTGCCACAACTATCTTTCCAAATGTAGTTTTTGGGAAAATAATGCATTTTCCAATTTCACTGTACACATCCTCAAATAATAAATAGCATGATTAAGCGTCTAACACACTGACTAACATTTAGAATAACATTAAGATTATAATATAAAGGAAATACTTGAGTTATGTATAATATTATCACGCTTACCTATAGGCAGGGAGGCGGCAGAGTTGGGCATTGAAGACGCACCGCCGCCAGGAGACGGGGGCGCTGTTAACGCTGATAATGCCTGCAAAATATTATATAATATTATATTAAAAGTGTCATGTCGCAGACAACTATTTTGGGTTATTCAAAAATTATAGTTCCAGGTCTGAGTGTGAAATATTTATCAACCTAAGTCATCATCATCTATCAATGTTGCGGGGTAAGCGCAATGAGGCACCGCGACCTCGGCCCAGAGCAGGAGAAGGCATTTGATGATTGTCCCATCACAAAAAGAAAAACATCTATCAATTGTTAAAACTACAAACTAAAAGCTGTTTATTTTTTAGCGATTCGTTTCAATCGTGACAATTTGAGGCACATTATAAGGATAATAGGAGGGGTTTGATTTAATTGTGGCGTGATGTTTTATAGCTTATAGCACTCAGGAAAATTGTAGCTATCTCTCAGTGAAAGGACTTTGGCAATCCGAAAAGCGGTTCCAAAGTTTACCCCTTACATACAAACAAATTTTACCTCTTTATAATATTAGTATAGATATAATATGTATACATAGGTATTAACGGTGGGTAACAGGTTGGGTGCGTTCCAATAAGCTTGGTCATGCAACCATTTTCTCTTTCTAAACATATAGTTTCCAGATCTTCTGCAACTAATTTGTGATTCACGTTGCAAGTGTACTTCAACGACGGTGACCGTTTACCACTATACCGGTTGTAAGCTTTCTAGCTACCAATATTCGTAACAAACTGATATGACATGTTTCTTGACTGCACGGTTGGCGCGGTGGCTGGGTAACCGCAGCGTGTCGCGTGTTTGATACCCACACGGAACAACTCTTTATGTGATCCATAAATTGTTGTTGCGGGTCTGTATGTGAAATTGTATGTTTGTAAACGCACCTACGACACAGGAGAAAATCCTAGTGTGGGGCAACGTTTTTTAAAAAAAAGAAATAATAGAAACTTACCATATGTGAACTGGACGGGTCTATATGAGAAGCTTGTAGCTCGACGGAGGCACACTTGCTATTTGATTTCTTCTTCCTCAAGCCGAACTTGCGTCGATCCTTTTTAACGTTAGGGGAGGCGCCTTCCAGTGATACCTGGGGAATGATGCATATTCTTTTACCAAGATTTACTTATCTGATACACCAGAAAGAGGGGCATACGGATTACATGATGGTAAGCAATCAGCACCGCCCATGAAAACTCGCAGCAAGTAGTTAACAGAGTCGTTGCAAGAGGGTTGCTAGCCTTTTGGGGATAATGGGTTTTGGGATGGGGATTTTTAAGTCGTTTTTCTATGGGTACGTGGAAGGTTTAGCCACTCCGGTCGTACCGACGCATTAATGCTGAAACATGGATTTACCACACAATATGAATAGTTGCAGGTTGACAGGAGTGATACTACGGGCCTTTCGCAATACAGACGTGTGAATGATGTTACAGGAGGCCCAGTCTTTTCATATTAAACTCAAATCAAATCTAAAAACAAACTCTCATCAGATGACTACACTGAGGACTCTACTACTTAGATTAAGATAATACTAACATCATAGAACAAGTACAAAGAACGCAGGTCAACACATTTAAAGGACATTAACGTTCTAACTTGCACTATCACCGCTTTTTACAACAACACGAACCTGGAAATTATTAAAATTGCTAAATGAATGAGTTCTTATTAGTCATTTTTCATTACTGAGTAAAAACTACCCAGTTCCTTCCCCTGCTCTGGGCCGAAGACGCGGTAGGTACATTATCTCTCGCTCTCACTGCTGAGCAAAGGCCTCTTCTCACACGGAGAAGGTTTGAGCATTAATCACCACGCTTGCGCAATGCGGGTTTGCGATTTCAAACTTATAATTAGAAATTATAAGTCCAGGTTTCCTCACGATGCCTTTACTGTATGTCAGTGGTGTCTAAATAATCATAGAAAGTACATATAACTCGGAAAAAGTCACATTGGTACTTGCCAGGTTTCGGACCCACACCCTCATGCATGAGAAGTGGGCTCCTCAACCTCCAACCACGACGGCGGGAAACTCAACTGAACATTAGCTCTATTGGAACCCATTTTTTTTTGAGGGGAGAAAATTATCCAATGGCTTATTTCCCCCAAGGTAGGGCGAGAGAGAGTATCAGACTCTTACTGACTAAAAGCCACCTCCGTTCTTTCTCCTACCCCAGGCTGAGGCTACCGTGCGTTATTGCCCATGGTCCCGGCTGAACAACAGCCCTATTTGACCTCAAATGTGGTCGTTTATTGGCTGTTGGACATGAGCTTCCATTACATAATGGTTCACAATTATCGCGATATGAATAAAGTGGGTTAGAGATGGCAATTTAGGTTTAAAGTATATGTAGATGTATAAACTATGTATGTCAGGAATTATATTAAAGAAATTAAACTAACGTTACAAAGTCTGAGTGATAAATAATAAAAATAATAATACCAAGTACTAATAGCAACGTTACTTAGTAACTGGAAATGACGAAACAAAACTGCATCACCTAAAGTTTCGACAATATATTTAATTTACAGAACCATTCCAAATACATATTTCTTCCAAAAAGTAACTTGAAATGGTGAATGAAGATTGTTAGGTAAAAGTGAGGGAATTATACTGACCTTATTTGGAAACCCCTGAAAAGAAAACATTACTCTCCTGAAGTTGTCAAATAAAAAGGTTAGGAGTAATTTACTCATAACTGTGGCAGTGCAAGTATTAGAAAAGGCTTTTTGATGTGGGTTTTTTTTTTAGATAAAGTGACTGAAGAAGGAGGTTTATATGTATAATAACATTCATGAAATAGTTAAGAAATTAAGTATCAGGGGTCGCTAGTGTGCTACTAATATTGATTTAATTTTGTTACAAATAGGCTAAGGAATTTTTGGCTGAAATAATACATAGGCTACTTATTACCCAGGTACAGTCAGCGTTAGATATATAGAGGCATTCAAAGTACTCAATTATATCAACACACACAAACCTGAACCTATCTACATATATGGTAACTTTGTTGTACTGACATTTTGTTGGTCTGTGTGCGTGTATATAATCGAGTACACTGAATTTTTTTTTGTGAGGGGAAAATCATCTAATGACTTCTCCCGCCCAGGGCAGGGCAGGAGGGAGTGTCAGACTCTTACTGACTAAAACCCCCCTGTTCCTTCTCCTGCTCTGGGCCAAAGTCGCGGTGCCTCATTGCGCTTACCCCGCAACCCCGGCTGAGTACCCTGAATGTCCCTATATTATTATGTTTGACGCTGACTGTACCGCTGGTAGAAAATAATAATTCAAATTCTCATGAATTTTGGGTAATTTCTTTTGTAAAATACTCACATCAGTATCATGATGGATTTGCTGCTGCAACTCCAATGCATCGAGGAGTCGCTGCAACTGTTGTACGGATAGCTGCGCCTGGCCCAACTCTCGGGACGCGTTCTCCAGCGGACCACCCGACTCTGAAGATTGAAAGAGATATAATTTAAAAGATATAATTTAGTCACCTTAAAGCTAATATTAAAAGAGGTTATGTTTGTTAGTTTGAACCTGTTATTAGTAGTAATATTTGACGAATAAGTACTTTTCTTGTCTGATTTCTGTGCCTCAAAAGGTTATAAATCTATTGAGAAATTTCATAGTGTGAGTATCTACTTAGTATCTTTACTGATATTAATAGGTCTTTACCTATGAAATTGCCGTTCTGCAGTACTGGCCATTTCAAATCAAAATAGTTTTTGTTAGGCTAAGGCTAATTAATTTTGTTTTAAAAACATGGGATTCTTTTTCCAAAAGTAGTCATTTGTTTATTGATTAGTGTTACATTTTCATCGCATTTCAAATCAAAAAATTTGTTTAAATTTTTTCATGTAAAATGGCAATTTCATAGGTAAAGACCTATTATAAAGCTAAAGTGTTTGTTAGTGTTTTGGTACGCGTTTAGGTAGGTATCTCTGAAACTAGTGGTTCGAATCTAACAAATCTTTTCATGTTGGATAGTCGATTTATCCAGGAAAGTTATAAGCTATAAAACATAACGCTACGATCTATAGGAGCTAAGCAGCGAGTGAAACCGCACGAAACTAGTTTATTAAATAGTATATAAATAGTATTTGTCTGTTTGTGTGCTTGTCGCTGGTCTATTAATCAAATCAAAGCAATAAAAAATGTATTTTTTCATAGATAATTGCACAAACCACCTACAGCTATACTACCATCACCTTTATAAAACCATGCTATTAAACATACATGCAAAACTAGACATCCTTTATGGAAACCAAAATTGTACCTATTACATAATACATAGTGGTTCATTTAGCATGCGATTTTAAGGAGGTTGCAATCATTCATTTAAGAACTAAGACCTTATTAACGGATACGCGACGCTTCGGGATGTTCGTTATTCATTGCTTGTTGGTTTATAATGCGCGGACGATAACGCGAACTATTATTGCAATGTACAACGAACAGTTCGACGCGCTCACGTCTCTGTAAATAAGACTTTAAGTCTCTATAAGACCCTGTTCACATGCTCCGGCTTTTGAATAGACGCTTAGAATAAGCTGGGTACTCTGCGGTAAAGCGTTTACTGCTTTTAGCCATATTGGTTAGCTTTTACACTTGCCGTTCCGTTTTTAAGTTCATTTATTGCCTGATACCGGATAAATCGAATAATATAAAAAGGCATATATAGTTCTAAAAGGATTGATTTGAAATTAAATAAAGAACAAATTGCATTCAATGATTAAAAAAAACCTGTTATGTTTTTTATTTTTATTTTTGAATAGTGCTATCGGGTGACAAATATATATATATATTTTAATTTAGCCTTTTTTATCTTTAGCTAAAGCAATAAAACATGTCTCAAGTTTCTGTTGGTCATACCAACCGCGAAGATAAGAATATCAGAATTGTTTCGAAAAAGTATTTTAGATATTTTTAATTTTGTAACCAAAATATTTTTCTATGCGTTCCCCTTTGTTTATTTTTCTTTATTACATCGACTGTGTTCTTTTTGCGTCGGCTGAAAGTTGGCTAGCAAGAGTATCTATGGCTTAATGCCATAGATATTCTATGACTATCCCTGTAGGTTTTGTTCCAAAAAATGAACTAAACTGTTATAAATTAGATTAAAGAATTATTGTACAGCTAACCAACTTAAAAAATAAATATTTTTCTATAATTATAAATAATTCAACATATTATATTAAATTGTTTTTGACTAAATAGGTGAGTTACCTATGAATTAAAACACACTTTTTACCATGCGTTTTTGTCATGAACAGAAATGGACATATAGAATGAGCCTAAACTCGATGTTAACTAGGTCTAAGGTTCCTTTAGCCACCTTCCAATGCCATCATCAAAGCAGAATATATGGTATCAAAACATTGTGGTCATCCCTTCTACATAAATATTGAACAAGATTAATTCCTAGTTTATATAACAGAGTCCCCTACAATGTGTTTTAAAACAAAATAAGGCGTATCTAATATAAAGTAAACATCAAAAAATTATTGAACCTGAATTTTCAGCGTAATATGAGTAGGAGCTAATTAATCATTCAGCGCTCAGTCAAGTTGTTAAGTTAATAATTTTGTTGTTACTAAGTTACTTGTAAAGTAAACGCAACTTCTGTTAAGTGTGGGTTCTGTGTCTAAGCAAACATTTTATACTTGTCTGTTTTGTGTTTAAAGGGGTGAATATTTAGTAGGAGCTGCACGTCGATTCTATAAAATTTGTTTGATTTTGAATCTTGTTCGAGTGTGAAGTGAGCGTCGAAGTGACGGGAAAATTACATTATAGAATGTCACTTTTAACGTCATCTCATACTTTATCTATCAAAATGTTGCGGTCAATTTAGTTTAAATCGCAAGTGTAGCGCTAGTGTATTACTACTCACAGCGGATTCAGATTCGAAGTTTAGAATGAAGTCTTACAGAATCACACTGCTTTTTGCAGGTTTTTGATGTCTCTTACTTGACTAAAACCCGCCCCGATTCTTCTGCAGTTCAGAGCTGGGGCTGCATACTTTTGTAAGCCTACCTATATATTTATATTCCAATGCTACCCTAGCAGATATACGTTTTTAAGTTTTAAATATCTGGAAAGTTGTAAAGTCTAAAAAAATTCTTTGGTTCCTATGAAACTTTTTCTTTATTTTTATAATTTGATTTAAAATGTTGATATAGTCTTATTACATGAATAAAAAAATAAATAGTATCATTTAAATATAGAATCTAGTAAAGCGTTACATGTACAAATAGAAAATAATTAAATTTGTTTGTTTAGTTGTTTTGCAACGTGTACCTACCTACTTAATTAGGTATACCTACATACCTACATGAACATTTCACCAAATGATCTTGCTAGCTTTTTCATAGGACTTCTTTTTCTGAGTTTACAATGTTAAATGCTTGTGATGTCTGTTGCTAATAAGCTTAGGTATTAAGCGTTTTTCGTTATCCCTCACCAAAATACAAAGACCATTCTCCACGATCATTACAATGTTATTAGAGGACCATTTAAAAATGGGCGTGTTTTCGAAAAATTAAGGTTAACATACCTATGATCCAGCCGGAGAGGCGTCCTCCTGGGGTGCCTGACACGAACCCCGCTTGGGGGCCCCTGATGGGCCCGCCGGTGGGGCTCAACAGCCCTACGGACCAAACACGTCAATGTGGAGGACAGGGGTGCAAGCATTTTGGAAACATATCGTGCAAAACAAGCAGTAACATGAAATAAGTACTAGTAATACCTAACTACAGAATAATTTAAATAATTATAAAACTTGAAATTTTCAATTTAATGATGATATTTAAGAATGAAGAACCCTTTTTTTATATTAAACTATTTTCTGCAAGTTACTGAATATTGACGACATAAAATATGTCTCTGGTTTCAATTTAAAATTATGTGGATATCGAAATAAATGTTGATATTTATATGTTTCAACGGATTTTAAGTACAACATTATATATCTATAAACGTCTACTATGTATTCTATACTAATATTATATAAAGCTGAAGAGTTTGTTTATTTGAATACGCTAACCTCCGGAACAGCTGGTTCGATTTGAACTATTCTTTATGTGTTAGATAGAAAACATCATGATACTACTAATAGGAGCAAGAAGTAGCTTTTTATAAGCATAGAACTTCATAAATAATGCATATAATTATTGCGTCCTGTATCTGCTTTAAAAGTTAAGATTTTTATGACTAGTTGGATGAACTAAACTTTAGGAGGAGATGACCGCTTGCCCAGGGTTGCTGGTCAAGAGCATATAAGGAACCGCGGCCTCGGCTTGGAGCAGGAGAAGGGGGGGGGGGGGGGGTTGTAGTGAGTAAGAGTCTGACACTCCCTCTCACCTTACCCTGGGCGAGAAGAGTTATTGGATGGCCTTTTCATAAAGGCATAGATAGATATGCGGACAGTGGACAAAATAATGATATCAAAAATCCCTTATAGATTTGTTCTTTAAATATATTTGATAAAGTTTCGCGTCTACAGTCTATAATTATCCTTATCTCTATTGGAATAAGAATCATTTTAGTGATAACGCATAACTTGATGACTGTTTTTGTGACGAATTTATGTGATTACGTTACGGGTTTTCCCGTATTCGAGGAAATTAATAAAAAGAATTAAGAAAGAGGATTCAAATTGTTTTATTATATTTTGTAATTAATCTTTTCCTTTTATTTATAAATGAATGGGTTAATTTTCATTACTGAATTGAATATGTATAGTCTGAACGGGGGTAGAGGGATACTTCTCGTACTCCAGGGTATGGTGCTTGACCCGCAACCCCAACTGGAGATGATCCCTAATTGGTCTGTCAGATGGGGAGCCACGACGAAGGTGGAAAGAAGGTGAAATAATGACTAATGAAGAGGCTATTGAGCTGACAATTGGTGAAAAAGGGCTATATCTTTTGTTTCTTAAATTCTATTTCATTTATTTAAAAAACACCTACTGTCTCAGTACTGGACCAATTTATTTCAAACTAATAACTGCAGATTACAAGCTGCACAATTATTTGGTAGAGCCTGTACATTTTTTTTTTCTTTTTAAAAAATTGTAAAACATTTTAAACATTGTAGCTATGATTTTGCTACTACTACTTTTATCTAACAATATCATAACTAACCTTGTGGTTTTTAATTAGAAATATATTTTTGCTTTATTTCTTTATTTTATAATCCTACAGTTTTTGAAATAAACTACAAGAATAATTAAATACAACTTTAAACTAATACCGATAAAGCTGACTATCGCTTGCTTGCTTGATACTAAGAGATGACAATGAATTATTAATCTATTGACATTTAATGTCACTTACAAGAACTTCTAATTATTCAAAATAAGAATAGAACAAAAACAATTCATGCAAATGCTTTGAAACAATAGAGGAAAATATCTATGGAAAAGTTGTTCTATAAATAAACTATTATTACAAATAAATTTATGGACATACTTCATAAGACAAACTGCTAGAGTCTAAATCTAAAGGAAAATGATCTCTAACGTTACTAAAATAAGTATAAAAAATCCATCTACTTTTGAAAGACAACTTAACCTACACAAAGTTACCCCAATCTGTTAAAAGAATTTCAACTTTATTTCAAGATGAATTAAAATTGAAAATCTATTAACGGGGAAGGATAGCTTGATGAGTTGGTGTCTGTAAGTTGTAAAAACTAACCAGAACAGTATGAAGGATCGCTAGTACATCGGTATAGGGTTTTCAGTTCATCGCTGGGGTTAACTTCGACGTTGGAATCCGTCGCAGAACTCGCTCGAGTAACATTATACTTTTTACTATAAAACAACTGATAAACTTTGAAATCTTTCTCCATCCACTTCTCTCTGACAAAACGTAACAACCGCCTATCAGTCTGCGATTGAGTTGAAACTTTAAACGAAGGCGATAAGAGCGTTATTTCTTTGATCAAATCCTGTCGTAATTTCGACGAGATTTTCTTCTTCTTTATCATGTGTTCTCTTGACGTAGGATTTGTGGTAGTGTTTAATCGTCCTTCGGGGTCTAGTACACGTTTAATCAAAGCAGTCATCGAGCATTCTGTGGCAATTTTATGTACCGATTTCGGACAAGACGTTGAATGTTCAGCTGTCTTCTTATCCATTTCAGTTAATTTAATTCTATGTATCGAATGGACTTTTACTAAGTTCTCAGTAAGCGAAGTGTCCCCTAAGGACGGTGGCCCACGTTCGAAGCAATACAGGGTTTTCTCGCCTTCACTCTTTGTCTGAACTTCACAATTCAGTACAAGCTTCAAATCTATCGCGCTAGTGCAAGCATCTTTTACATTTTTCCTTATTTTAGTATTGCTACATGTATTTATTGCTTTTTCTGTGATCGAAACTTCTTCGCTGAGCGGGTAGCAAGTGACGACATCCCATTGGGTTGACGCATCCTTCCTACACGCCCCACACTCCGAATCCTCATTGTAAATCTTACCTAGCAGACTTAATCCGTATACATTGCCACAGTTCTTCAAAATCTTCTCATGTTTCTTTCTCAATTTCACGAATAAGCTATTGATATCCTTGTGCAAACTCGGTATGTTTTTCGACAATAGCGATAAATTTTCTAAAAGTAACAGTATGAATTTCTCATCGATCACTCTTGGAGCTGGTTGTTCGAATACTGATAGATCTGGTTGCCTGGTCGGGGAGCGACATGGGGAACGTCTTTTTGATATACCATTATAGTCTTTAAGCCTAACTCTCTTTTTAGGCTGAAATTTCGTTGGCTCCTTTTTAAAGGACATCATGTAACAAGACGTGTCTTCATTGTCAAAAGACCGTTTCGGATCCAAGCCTCTGAGAAAGGAGTTCTTAAAAGATAGGTCTAATGAGTGCTCGCTTTCGTGAACCACCTTGTAAGCCTTTGAAGTCGCATCACTACTGCTAGAGTAAGGTTTCAAATCAAACTTTTTGGCGAAATCTGCGTAGGCATCAGGGCTTTTGCTCCTTTTCTCAAATATCTCGTTCGAGTTTGTGGATTGGATGTAACTCAACCAATTTTGTTTCAATTCTTTTTGTACTTCTTCTTTCTTTAGGCTATTTGAGTCTGCAAATTGAAGACTTAGGTGCGCGTGTTTATTGTCGGTCATTGTCGGAGGTTTTTCTTTAAGTTTAATCGAGATTGACATGATCCCTTCTAAAGCAGGGTCATTAAACATCGATATATGTTGGAGATCGTACTTAGAAAGATCGATAACGACTGAATTTTCATCATAATTTTCGTAAATGAGTTTCTTGCCAGGATACTCTTTGTCAGGTCTACCCAGTTCGACCTTCTGTTCTAACTCTTTGAAGTCACCTTTGACATTTTCGTGTGATTTCTCATTTGTCCAGGTTGTGTCCTCCATCTTCTTTACTTTAGAGAATATCGTTGTTATTCTGTCTAACACTTCTTTGAGGTACAGTTGGCCGGGATCTATGGGTTTAAAGGCGTCACTGGACTTTGGTTGCGTTACTTGTGTGTCTTTTAACGTTGTGACGCTTTTTGAGGCTGTTTTTGTAACGGCTTCTGCCTCTACCTGGCATGGAAGTTCTTTAGAACCCTTGGAAGCGACTGAATGTTCACTGGACGGAGAACTAGTTTCGGACAGACTTCGGAAATCTTCTTTGAGTAAAATGTCTAAGTACGCACTAAAGAACTCCTTAGCAACATCAGGTGATATCGAAGTATCGCTTAAAAGATGGTTTAATGTTTCCTGTATTTTTTCCGTAGAAGAATTAGAATTGTCCTTGTTCAAACCAGTAGGGCTATCTTCTTCCGTTTTCGGAGGCAGTTTACCAATGTTATCAATCAATGTTTTAGTTATTTTTATATCTTTCTGTTGGTTACTTCTTGTCGTTTCACACATGTACACCGTGTTTTTGAGTAACCGTTCCAGTTCCTGTATTCTTCTTTCTTTCTCAAAACTTTCCGTGTCTCGCCTCGGGCTGGGACTCGAAGGAGGTCGGTCTGGAGGTTTCGGCACAGGTTTAGCGGTATTTGGTTTCTTTTTGTATTGAAACAGCATTTCACTGAGACCATGGAACTGTGTTTGCTTCGATACACGACCTATATAAACACTTGACAGGTTTTCGTCTCTCATGAAATATTTATTTGACTGTCTGTCTATTGAGCGGCTGTGTCTCATCGCGGTTTTGATTGGCTCCACTTTGGTATTTTTCAACCAATACTCTAGCAGGCTTCTGAAGAGCGCTTTCACTGGATGAACTTCTTGAAACTTGATGTCATATAAATCTTTTACGACTTGTTGGATGTAGAGCTGTACGTCAGTGACGGTGGTGTTCTTGGCGTTCTCGAATATGGACACCATGAGTCGTTCCGTGATGTTGTCGTAGTCTGAGGTGGTCATGGCGTCCTGCAGCGACTTGTTCTCAATACTAGAGGCTTGTACTTCATTACTCTCCGTTTGCACAGTGTCGCAGGCGACCGCACGGTCTGTGCTCTTCTCAGAATTGTCCAACTTCTCAATATTAGATTTTTTTTCAGTTTTCGTTTTATTTTTATACCTTCCAAGTAACATGCTCTTGCTAAGGGGCCTCCTCAAAGGAGGTTCATCAATAAAGTTTCTATATTTCACTAAATTCGTCGATTTCTTACTTTTCCTCATTTGAGTATTGATAATGGAGGAGCGTGATTTGTTGCGTGTGAAAAAGTAGTATGCTGCGGTAGGTTCGACCTTATTGTCAGTTAATAAGGGTTGTTTTGATTCAGAGTATCGAAATGGTGATGTTTCTCTTTTAGTTTTTTCTGCATCTGCAAAGGCAGTGTCTGTTGTTTTTGTGGAGCTAATATCTAAGTCTGTGCTATGTATTTGTTTTTCTCCTTCAGTGCTACCTTCTGAGATATTTGGCGACTTTTTTCTTTGCAATTCATCTACAGTGAATCTAGCCACGCAGTTCATTGAGCACAGACTTTTATGGTTATTTAACAGTTTGTCATTGAAGTGCCCATCGCCAATTTTAGGCTTTGGGGGATTATATTCTTTTTCCTTGTCTATTGGGGTTGAGAATGAGGTGGGGCTGCAGGTATAGCAGCTCTGAAGCTCTGAGGATTGTTCTTTCTTCCTGGTGAATGGGGAGTCGTCGCTGGAACATTCCGAGGAAGAGTCCAGACTTTCGTTGGAGATACCTTTTGGAGGGGAGAGGTTGTGAGATAGGGATTAAGGATAGGGTATTATAGGGATAGGGTACACACTACACACCAAACTTTAATACAAAATTGATTCGTGTATTTTTTCCTAGTTTCAAAAGAGAAAAATCTTAAAAAGAAAACATTCCTTTCACAAAAATTATTCACTACAAGCAAAACCAATCCACACGCGTATCTAAAATTCAAACACCTCTACAAAAATCCTCACTCAAAAATCAAACTACCTACCTAAAAATAAAGAAAACTTTTTCAAAAAGTCAATTCTATCTTGTGCATGCGTCACAGCAAATGATAATAGAATAATAATAAGTAAACAGTACTTACGAGAAGAATTGTCTGTGGGTGGTAGATCTTCCAACGGGGCGTGGATTTTCGGTACAGACTCCCGCGCACCGAATGTTAGCAAATGTTGCCGATATAACCTTAATGAAAACGACAACTGCTTTAACTTGTTGTACTTTAAGTTTTAAGTGTGGCAGAGCTATGGCTCGACCGGAGTGATACTAAGGCCTCACAGAAAACCATCGTGAAACAACAAACCACAGCGTTGTATTTCGCCGTGTGAGTGCGGTGACCGGAGGCCAAACCTTTCCTCTGCCCTAATCCCTCCAAAGTTCTTAAATCTCCAAATCCCTCATCCCCAAAAGGTTGGCAACGCACTCGTAAATTCCTCTGGTGTAATGGGCGGCGCCGATTGCTTACCATCAGATAATCTGTCTGCTTGTTACCTATCACATAAAATACACATTTATAAATGTAAATACCAACCTATGAGCCTTCAGCACATTAAGCCAGGTTCGGAATACATCAGGGGTCTTCGCTCGGAGGTGGTATATGAACTCGTCGGCATCAATGTCGATACGTCGCCGCCTAGCTTTAGCTGATATCACTGAGAGACCGACATCCACGGACCCGTGGAGTCGGCCCCGAGCGACGTCCGTCGGAGAACGAGCGTATACAAGTATACCACCGTCTACTACGAAGAATCGCTGGAAAAAGACGTAATTCGGGGTAATTCTAATGTGTATATAATATAATTATGCTTAACGACTTATGCAATTATCAGTTGCATATACAGGTGTTATTGTCAACGAGGAAAATATTCAAGGACCCTATTCTGGTTCTCAAATCCATCCCATTTTTCTATGGGACCAATATCGAAATCTCAAAAATAATATTGTTTCCCCATAGAAATCGCAACAGTTAATTATGGATGGAAAAGTATTTTTTTTTTGATGTTTCCACATTGGTTTAATGGAAAAAATGTTTTATTTGAGCACCAAATCGGTCCTTCAATATGTTTTATTCGTTTAAAACATCATTCTTCATATTTTATAACATAATATATGATCAGCATTCGCGCAATATTAAATTCGAAGGGAATAAAAACATATAAACAAAAATACCCAACACATATATTACCTAAGTAAAGTATTACTCGTATCAAAGTTTGTACCTTATGCCATCCTTTGAGAGGCCATTTCCTCTTCTTGTGTAGGTATCCGTTGAAAACGTCCGGCCTCTTCTCGAACCTCTGGCCGTCTTTCAGACCCTCTAGCACTTCCCATTCGCTGCCCCGACGACGACTGATAACAATACAAAGAAATAAGTAAATATGACTGGCTCGCCCAAAGGATGACGTATGTTACTTTCAATAGTGCCTTACATTATTGGACTATTTGAAATAAACGATTTGGTCTTTGACATAGGAACCACAAATTGTTGTTCCGATTATAGGTGTGTTTACGAATTTGTATGTTTCTAACGTATACTATGTATTTGACAGAACAGTAAACACTGGTTTGAAGCCTGCGTTTTTAAAGCAAAAAAGCTTACCCACATTTGCGAGACTTTCACATAAAAACGGCATAGGTAAACAAAAAATATCTATACGCTGAAAAGTTTCGTTGTTTGCTTGAACGCGCTGATCTCCGAAACTACTCAGTTCGAATTGAACAATTCTTTTTGTGTTCGATAGGCCAATTATCAAGGATAGCTACAAGCTATATATACAACATCGAGCTACAGCCAATTGGAGCCGTGCGGCATTAGCTAGTATAACACAAAAGCGTAGAAGAGAAATTAAATAATATTTTTTTCATCTGAGGATGTCCCGGTCCATTTACGCGGCCAGGAGAAAAGAGGGTTAATATTTGGACCTTAAAATAGACCTTCCACGGTTAACCCATATCAAAGTCTGAAGTTAAAACGTAACGTTAATTGAGATATCACTCGAGTTCCAAGTAAATTGTGACCTTTGGGGTTCGTTACTTAAAATAGACTTAATTTGGGGTAAATACACGAAATGTTGTGTCATTGTGACGTCATTAATTACATGACGATATTAATTTCGGAAGTAGTGGACGTAATGCTGATTAGGAGGTTCATTATCGTTGTAAACTTTAAATACGAAAGATTTGAAGCGTAATACCACGGCCACGACCGGCGTGAAACCACGCATACGTTGCGCTTTTCGCTGAGTGAGTAAGGTTACTGGAGGCCCAATCCTATCCTATCCTCCCAGGCGCTGATTCCTAACCTTCAGGTAATTCGCCGGCTAGATAGCAGACGTTACCCAGACTAAAAAAATTGCTCAACTCCTAGTTACATCGATTTTCATATTGCTAATTGCTTGTATGGAATGTTATCGACTAAACACAACTACTAGACTAACAGGCTATTCTAATTCAAAATTTCAACGTCTTCAAAATCTATTTTACAATTTTGTTTCTGGCTAGTTTTCCACGCGGACGAAAATGTAGGCGAGATCCTAGTTGTGTCTTGTTTTGTGCATAAAATAGCAATATCGTCGCGTCAAGCTATGTTCAAGTAGCAGAACTAGTGATCAGCACTGTGTATGTGCTTCAAATATTATATGAACCAACGCCGAAACAATTTTACGTAAAAGTGTCATTTTTGGCTTTGTAATAAATACAAGCTTTTCGACACTTCCAGAAATTGTTATCGAAATATAATCACGAACAAAATTTGAATATTAGAAGATTTATTCTCATGTTGTCAGATATGGAATCGCCCCTCGCCCTTCAAGTATTCTAGTCAGGATTTTCTAAAATGGCATTCAGAAGATTCCATTTTGGGGTATACCACATCGTCACCTCAATTTGTTATGCAGGACGCCTAATGTCTACAATTTGGCTAACTGCCAACCTGGTTCACATTAGGGGGAGAGCTAAGATGACTCATGTTAGACTGCCTATCGATCATACAGGTATCTAGGCAGGACTCCGCCAAAAAAGACAGACTAATATACTTTACGAGCAAAATTTTATAGGCAATAAACGTTCAGCCTATTCTCGGTATGAGCTTGAAACATGTGTCCCAAAAACTGTTTTAATTTATTTTAATATAAATGGCGTTCGCTCCGTGTAATTAAATCAAAAAAATATAAGTGTCAAGAAGAAAGTACGGCAGTATTTTATACATACTTATTTAGAATTGTTATGGAACAACTGAACTCTCATATTGTGGCAACCATAGCTTCTAGGTACTCTACTTCGAGGTTTGCAGGTGATGACATAGTGGGCTGGCTACTTGAAAGGGGTCACGCACGGCCCTCGATAATTAGGACTATGCCGGAGGTAGGAGACTCCTTAATAGACATAACTAAAACCTAATCTTACCAGCAGAAAATAGAGCTTATCTAACTTGTGTACTCCATTTTTTTATGTAATAGGTCGGCAAACGAACATACGGATTACCTGATGGTAAGCAATCAGCGCCGCCCGTGGACACCCACAACGGAGGAGTTACGAGTGCGTTGCCGACCTTTTAAAGATTAGGGTTTTGGAAATTTAGGGATTGAGGAGGGATCGGGGTAGGTGCAGGTTTGGGCTTCCGGTAAAATCACTCACACGGCGATACACAACGCTGTGGTTGTTTCACGCCGGCTTTCTGTAAGGCCGTGGTATCACTCCGGTCGAGCCGAGCCATTCGTGCCGAAGTTTGGCTTAAGTGTGGGACTTATGGAACTACGGGACTCCATAAAGGGATTTTAGTGGACTCGTTGTACTTTTGTGATAGAATGATGAGAGGGGAGAATCTTAATAGCAACTTATTCAGCAATAACAATTGGGTAGTTTCCTAGGTCAAAAATGAATAAATTCAACGTTTCAATACACTAAAATATTGCAAAATAACCACGCTTGTAATCATCGATCTACGGATACAATACATTTTACTATTTTTAGCTAATTTTTATGAAAGCTGTTTAACTCGAAAATAATATGTCATCATAATTTTTGAACAAATAGAAATAAATGCTTCAAATCATTTGGCTATTTACAACTATCATTTGTTTTAATGGAAATTCGTAGACAAGTATTGTTTTTGACATTTGGATAAAATTACTGAATTTGACTAGTTGGAAACTTCCGTTTTGTATCAGAATGTGTGTCGCAATCATATATAAAACTAGCTACTCTCGCGCCGTTTCACAAACTGCTCGTCTTCATTTGTAGCGTGATGTTTTATAGCCTATAGCAGGAACATTGTAGCTATCTATTAGTGAAAGAATTTTGGCAATCCGACCAGCCAAACCGACCAACCAAAGATTACCCTCTACATACAAACTTACAAATTTTAGCTCTTTATAATATTAGTATTGATAGTTCGTAGCTGTGGGACATTGGACCTGGCATTTAGGTCTAAAATGGATAGTCAACTTACCCCCTATTCTTGCCAGCTCGCGTGGGCTGCGGTGGCGGACGAGGGGCGCGGTCCCCGCTGTCAGCAGACAGTGAGGCGGTTTCTCCTGAGCAATCGGAGTCTGAGGGCGCGCGCCGCAGCGCAGCCGCGCGACCTGCAGCGCCGCGACGGCGCTCACCTGTCGACAGAAAGTTAAATTTAAATACAATATACATAATATAATGCTCACGATAATGATGATGGTATTGATGATGATGATATTGCTCACGATATTCTTCTGTTCTATTCCATGTTTTCTTTGTGTGATAGGTCGGCAATCGAGCATACGGATTACATGATGGTAAGCAATCAGCGCTTGCGTTACCGACCTTTTGGGGATTAGGGATTTGGATATTTGGGGATTTGGAATTTTGGGGTTGAGAGAGGGGAAGGATTTGGCCTCCAGTAACCTCACTCACACGGCGAAACAAAACGTAATTGTTGTATCACACCCATATTGTGTGGTGTGGTCACTCAAGCAATGCTCTTCCACATTTAAAGTCGTTTCTTACGACATTAACGGATAAAACAGTGTTAGTATAAGTATAATCTACATCCATATACTCGTAAATCACAGACAGAATAGCGAGAGAAAGCAGTAAAAGTAATTAAGACAAAGTTCATTAACCAGTTGTTTTATTTAATTACAAAGACATTCTGTTGATTATGTGCTGGCGTTGTTTGATCACTTTGTTAACGTAATTTCTTTTATGACGCTAAAGTGGTTACATGAACACTTATTTACATATGTATATAATGTGAGAGAGAATTGAGAAACGCTCGACTAGTTTCAAGTCACACCGGGATTCACGAGCTGCGTGCGCGTCGCGGCGGCATCACGCTACCAATTTCACTTCACGTGATTAAGTCGTTATTTTCAGTAAATTTAGCATGGCTCACGATAGTTTTTTTTTTTATTTAAGTATTTAATAGGTCGGCATACGAGCAGACGGATAACCTGATGGTAAGCAATCAGCGCCGCCCATGGACACGCGCAACGGAGGAGTTACGAGTGCGTTGCCGACCTTTTAGGGATTAGGGATTTGGAGATTTAGAGATTTAGATGGGATCGGGGGAGGGGAAGGATTGAGGCTAGTTAGTAGATTGAGGATAGTTATTATAAAAACAGTTTTAACCAGTTATAGTACCCTCACAATCACAGCGTTGTTTCGCCGTGTGATTGAGGTTACCGGGGTTGCGGGAGGACGAGGGTTTTTTAGTCAGTGAGAGTCGGACACTTCTCCCGTCCCACCCTCAGCGGGAAAAGTCATTTGATGATTTTTCCCGTCACAAAAAAATGAGTGAGGTTACCGGAGGCCCAATCCTTTCCCTTCTCCATCCCATCTTAATCCCTAAATCTGTATAATCCGAATCAAGAGATTGGAAACACATTTGTAACTCTTGTGGTGATGTATAAGGGGGCCGCCGATTGCTTACCATCAGGTAATCTGTCTGCTAGTCTGATGTCCTACCAAATAAAAGCAAGTTATAATTATGAAGCCATGACATAATGTAGATTATATAGTCCTATAAAGTTAGACAGTACTATCCGTATGTTCTATACGTGTCTTCAAAAGGGGGAATAGCCTATTTCCATAAACTGGGTACAATTCTAGACACTGACGTATAACTATGAATTCCGAAAACCGTAGTAATACTTCGTGTGCCCCCTAAATTAAACCGAAGACCCCCTATGTGGAGATCATCGAATGTACCAGTTATGATGACAGAGATAATTAATTAATTGTTCAAGTGTTCCTTATGTTTACTCAGCCTGTGTAAACACATACCGCGTCAATGTGTGCGTGAATGTGTTTGTTTATCAAAAAATATTTTATGTAACGATAAATATTTTGACTTTAAGATCGTAGTTCGATTTTCTTTACATTAATGCATGTTTACGTATAATTACCTAAATACAGTTGGTGACAGTTTTGTAACGAACTTTTGTGTATCTAGTTCTTTGTTAGTGGTCGGTGGCTTTAAGGCGTCATATGAATCCAATGATTATCTGATGGTAAACAAAATAAGCTAGCGTTGTTTCACGCCAGTTTTCTGATGAGGCCTGGGGTATCATTCTGGTCCACCCACCCCTTTTGTGCCGAAGTATCGTGCTGTGGTTTTTGGTGCGTCATCATCAGCCTATAAGTGCCTTCTGAGCAAAGGCCTCTTTTCACACAGATGAGGTTTGAACATTAATCACGTCGCTTGGTCAAAGCGGATTGGCGATTTCAAACTTTTATGTTTTCCTTCGTCGTAAGTCAGTGGTGTCTATATGTATAATCTTAGATAGTACATATAACTAGGAAAGAGTCACATTGGTACTTGCCAGTTTTCGAACCCAAACAACAATTTGTGGATCACACAAAGAGTAGTTCCGTGCGGGAATCGAACCCGCGACACGTTGCACGGCAGCCAGTTGCCCGGCCACAATTTGCAAAAATCATAATAATAATTTGTTGTGTCAAAAGTGCACAAATAAATAAGGATACCGAAGAACCCCTTTTCCTTAACTTTAACGTCTTAAAACTTACATCAGTTGGCAGTAGCACTATGGGGCACTACGACCACAGAGCTATAAAAACATCCAAATGAATAATAGAAACATTCAAAACCAGTAAACTAGAAAACTTGGCAAGACACAAAACCTACATTACGTGCAAAAAGTTTAGCGTTTTGAATGTGGAAAGGTGCTGCACTGCGACGACAGAGCCGACTAAATAAGACATCACCGCTTCTCTTTCCGCGGGTTGCCGTAAGAGGAGATCAACGATCAAGTGAAGAAGAAGTAGGATCAAGAAGAGACCATGATTTAACAAAGACCGGTCAACAGAGCTCCCTGATAAACCTGGACCTTTTAAACTGGGACCTTTAATTGGACACTTGACCATTACAAAAGCACTATGACTGTTGCCTATGTATTTTGACGAGGTTTGTGTGTTACCACGACATATTTCTCTTGCGTCAATAACACAAACTTATACTATCTTTGAATTATGCTAAAAAAAAAATAAGAATATCAAAAGAGTTAATTGTAAAATCTCTGAACAAAATTTATTGTATTTACAAGCAGAAATAATTTCTAGTTGACAAAACTGCCAAACGAAAGATAGTGGCATGCCCCTCTTATGTAGAAGAAGCCCCAAATCCAGTTTCAAAAACCAATAAAATGTCGAACCTGGCAAGGCAAATCATAATTATTCAACTTACATGCAAAAACTTATGTATTGAAAATTTCAATGTAGGCGGTGCACTGCGACGCTCGATGGTGAAAGCTAATGCGATTGAGATCTTAGTGCAGGTAGTGGTAGGGTTGCCAGGTCGCCCGTCTTTTAGCCGTGCAGAAATTCTTTTAGAGCCCGGCAAATCATCAAATGTCTGCTCCCGCTCCGAGTGGGGTAAGAGGCAATGTCATATCACCCCATTTCTTCTTTTCGTCCCGGTTGAGGCAGTGGTATATCATTGATACTGGACATCGACCCTAAATGGACCCCATCTGTGGTGGTCTAATTACTCTGTAAGGATGCGATGCTCCGTATGCGCGGGTTTGGTTTTGATAGCAAGCTATCTGTTGTTCTCCATCCGCCTGATTATAGGTACGATGGTTTAGCGGTTTCCAATACCCGGGGGCTTCAGCGCCGGATAAGGAGGGAAGAGTCTAGTTCTCTCATGGGCTCCGCCTCACCTCTCTTACTCTTCTCCTTTAACTTTGCAGAAGGAGGAGATGGCTTCCCAGTTCTTAGCGCCCGACACCTAGGCCCAGCTTAATGTAGGCATGCAATGTATGCCTCTCTGTTCCGGCTCAAAAAAAGGGCCGACCGTTATGACAAAAACATGTCAGTATGAATGATAAAGTGTATGCCTTTCGTGTAAGCTAGACAAGTCATTATTTTGGCCGGCTAAGCAATTGAAAGCCTATAACCAGCTTTGTCCTGACGCCTGGCAACCCTAGTTTCAGGTATTAGTTAAGAAATCACGCGAGCTATAATATAATAACTTTGTCAATTGATGTGACCTGGATAGGACAGATATAGACAGAAAGCTTTTATAGTGAATAGGTTTCCTTAATCAATTTAAAACTTTGCAATACTTAGCTACTGGCAGCGGTTTCCCGCGTTACCCTTATGAAGATTACTTTATATGTTATTCCAGACATTACGTATCTGTGCCAATTTTCATTTACGTATCTGTGCCAATTTTCATCAGAATCCATCCAGTAGTTAAAAGTGAAAGAGGCATCCACTGTCACAAATTTTCGCTTTTACAAATGCTCAATAAAAAGGACTTGAATTTGTTTTGAATCTTAAAGTTACTTAGATTTGTAATAAAAAATTGCCTTTCTGCTATGACGTGTTTTTTCGAGGGGAAATTTTCCGAAGGGTTAGGATAAGAGAAAGTGTCAGACTCTTACTGACTAAAAACCACCCCGTTCTTTCTCCTGCTGTAGGCCGGGGCGTTACATTATTTCGCTTGACCCGAAACATCGCAAAAATACCTACAGTTTGGTACAACATTAAGGGTAATGTTTCCAAGTAACGCGAACGAAGCCGTTGGCAGAAGCTAGTCTATCACAAAGAGTACTCACGTTTGTTCTCGAGGCGCGTCGGTTCTGTGACGACATTCTTCACTCCTCCTTGATTCATGTCAGTGCCGCTACACGCGCCCACCAGTAACCATCTTAATTCGGCTGCGAAAAAAGAAAATACACATTGTAAACCAATTAAAATAATCACACACACACACACACACACACACACACACACACACACACACACACACACACACACACACCTCTACTATAGATACCATTCAAACCTCGTGAATCATCTTTAGTTATAATATTATAAATGCTAAAGTAACGTTATTTGAATGTTTGTTACTCAATCACTCCAAAACAGCTGGACGGATCTGGCTGAATTTGGCACAGGCATAGGATACACTGCGGAATAGGACATAGGCTCCTTTTTATCATCATACCACGCGGGCGAAACTTAGTAACTTATACGGAAGTCATAGGGAACCCTTTTTACAAGCATTTATTTATGGAATAAGAGGGAAACAGCAACACCAGAGGAGACAGAGGCACGTTGACGGAAATTAATTTATTTTATAAATACTAGCGACCCGCACAGGCTTCGCACGGATGTAATGCTGGTTAACCACATTTTTCCACTGTTCTTGTACATATAAACGCTCCGCTATTAAACGTCGTGTATTAAACATCGTGTATTAAAAACAGCTGCATCAAAACACTTTGCGTAGTTTTAAAGATTTAAGCACGCATAGGAATATAAGGACAAAGACAGCGACTTTGTTTTATACTATGTATGTAGTGAAGCGAGTGCAGATACATTTTTTATTGAGGTGCCAAATTATCGAAACATTCTTCAGTACTTACAACTCAAGGGCTTTCAGTAGGTAATGGAAGATCTTTTATTCTTTTTAAAACTCAACCATATACGGTCAACATAATTCTAGAACGAATTCTGGCAAGAACTAGATTTAAACTTGGAACGAATTCGTAAGTAATTCAAAAGTGCTTATACCGGTCAAATTGAAATAAATAACTTGACTTTTAAACTTAGAAAAATAAAACAAATCTTGCGAAAATAAGACAAGGTCTTAGAATGACATGTTTAAAAAAAAACATAGGAATGCTAAAATTATTTGGCTTACGATGGCGACAAGGTGACGCAACCATGCAAGTCTTAAATCATCAATAACATATCAGCGATCGTAAAATTACGTACAATCTATACTAATATTATAAAGAGGTAAAATTTTTAGGTTTGTATGTAGGGGGTAATCTTTGGAACCGCTGGTTGGATTGCCAAAATTCTTTCACTGATAGATAGCTACAATATTCCTGAGTGCTATAGGCTATAAAACATCCAACCGAGCAGCGGTTGAAACCGCGCGAGAATAGCTCTCATATTCTTATAATTATGATCATTAATATCCAAAGAAGTATTTTTTTTTATTTGGGAAACAAAGACTTGAGTAAGATTGATAATTTTGTCTACTGTTCCAATTTAGAAAAAAGTAACATGTCTACGATTCATGACTGACCGTCAGCAGTATTTTTTTGTTTTTTTTTCCACCACCCACCATCATCATGATCACCAGCCTAACACACAGCTAGGCATAGACCATCGTACGGCTCGTAGCGTTCAGCGCGCGCCTCAAAGAGCCAATAGACCACCACAGACGGGGCCCTATAGAGCTGATGTTCAGCCGGGGTTGCGGGGTAAGCGCAATGAGGCACCGCGACCTCGGCCCAGAGCAGGAGAAGAAACGCAGGGGTTTTTAGTCAATAAGAGTCTGACACTCCCTCTCGCCTTACCCTGGGCAATTGATGATTTTCTCCTCAAAAAAAGGCGTAGACCTTTTCTCACATATACATCTAAACTAATAAAGTAACTCTGTCTGTGTATCTATCTTTTCTTCACGCCTAAACTACTGAACCTATTTGTGTGGAATTTGGTACAGACATAGTTTGCAACTCGAGAAAGGACATAAGATAATTTTTAGACAAAAAATCTGCGGAAAGTTACTATTCCACGCAAACAAAGTCGCGGGCAAAAGCTAGTCAATAATAATTAATCACGTCTTCAGTTTAAGGCAGACCCGGACATGCTATTAAAATTTAAAATTTCGAATTCAAAACCTAACATTCTGATAAAAATAAAACAAACACGAAAAAGTTTCAACAAAAACAAAAAAACCTCTTTGGAGTCAAATAACAATTCTAATAAAAAATCACTTCGTAAAATAATGTAGGATATCCCTAATGAGTTCTAGATTTTGCAATGCGGCACTGCAGTTACTGAAGTAGGGCGTCGGTTGTATGTACTTATTGCGACGATAACAATATCTTTAATTGCGATAGCTACACTATCAATGACAATATAAACAGAAGTCACGTGTAATCATGTGATACCCAGGGCTTATTCAAGGGCCGTAATTAATGACCTTTTAGAAAAGGGGGAGAGAGGTCATCGAATGAGTTTCCACGTCCTGGTTAAGGCGAGGGGACGTGTCAGATTCTTGCTGACTGAAAACATTCAATATTATAAAGCTGTAGAGTTTGTTTGAACGCGCTAATCTTGGGAACTACTGGTACGAACTCGACGATTATTTTTGTGATCCGTACTGCATTTATCGAGGAAGGCTAGGCTATAAACTCTCTTACACTTACCTAAACCTAACTGACCTAAACCTAAACCTGCCTCTTTATCTACCTAATAGTGAAACAACATGGCCTGTGATGTCAAAGTGTTTACTTAATCAACTTAGTTCTCCATCAGAAATCTCCTTTCTACAAACTGTTTAGTTAGCTGCGAAGCTAAAATCGATTGTAGGTATACTGTCTCATACCATTAATCACTTTAGCCTTCACTTTATGGGGTAGCTTACGAGCGGTTATTACAAAAATAATCTTTAATCTCTAACGAATATATTTCATATCCCTTTGTGCGCACATTATCTTTGCATTAGTTAGGGAACGAATTTCAATTACGTCGTAATCTTGGATATTTAAGAACCTAAATCAATCAATTTAATACAATGGAGTTCCGATTACTTAAAATTCTTATTCATACTCCTAATAATGGCAACCTTTTTTCGAAAATGTGGGTATATATTTGAAACCCTTGCTGCATGTGCATATGCATGATTGCATAGGAGTGAGATTACATCCTGCAACAAGCTTGGATTTTTGTCGCGGAATTAAAACTAAATATTTCCCTAACATTTAATGTCATGGATTTCCGCAAAGTAACGCCTGATTCTATAAATTATGTCTATTTATCTAAAAGTTGTCGAAAAATTGTGTATAGAATTGTTTACAATCAGATATTTATTTAATTCTGAAGCGATGTAAGCCAATAAACTAAATTAAACTAATCATTGCTATATTTTATAAGAGTTTGTTTGTTTGAATGCGCTAATCTCCGAAACTACTGGTTCGATTTGAACAATTCTTTTTGTGTTTGTTAATCCATTATCGAGGAAGGCTATAGGCTATAAAACATCACGCTATGATCTGTAGGAGCTGAGCAGCGGGTGTAACCGCGGGAGAGTAGCTAGTTCAATATAAAAAGACATACCAGGTTGGTTTTCTTTTAGTTATTTACCTAAACTGATAGTCTATAAAGCAGTTCGTTGAAAACCTAAACAGGTAATAATTAGGTATTCGATAAGATATAATAAGTTGTGTATTACATACATACCAATTCGTGTTAAACTAAACGGATTCTTAATTTTCATTGTTTACAAGAGTTATAAAAGAACGAATTGCACATCACTATTATCACAAATCCATTATTAATATTATATTAACACCAACAAAAATAATAAAATAATGACACATTTACATTATTGACTTTTATTATTAAGTATTAACAGTCAAGCATTAAATCCTTTTTTAACAAAACACACGAAAAATCCAATACACTTTTATCACGGCACCTTTAAAAATGAATAAATAGAATTAATTTTTTTACAAAAATAATAATATTATTGTGTTCTTTTTTGTTACAAAATAATAAAACACAACACCACTAGTGTTGTACGCGCACCATACTAAAGTTTTATCGGGAAAATTATTTTCTTATCAAAATTATCGATAAAACCAAGGATATCAATAAAAATATAAAGATTATTATATATTATCTAATGTTTTCACCGACTGATACACGTGTATTACTCATCGTTTATCTGTCTTGAGGAAATTCGACAAATATAGAACCTAAACACAGTATTTTGTGTAAAAATAGACCCGACGCAGCCGCAGATAAAATTTGTCCCTAGTAACACTAATTTACGTACGGCTCTCTGGAGACGAAAGTTATACATAGGAGATTATAAATTTGCAACCTTAGTTAGTCTGGACATTCTGTTTCAGGAATATACACGATGCAACCTATTTAGGTATTACAGGACCCTTCATACCTAGGTACATCCTAAAATGTTGCTTCAAACCTAACAACCCCCTCGCAAAGAAGGAGGCAGACCGTGTGAGTGAGTTTCTTTCTTTCTTTCTAGCTATCCTCCTCCTCACGCCCCAGCTGCCACAGTAGGCGACACTCCGGACATCGGGGATCGAGAGACGACCTCCGGCCACCACCGTGAGCGCGGGTCTGGGAACGGCGAGTGAGTGTAACTCACCGCACGAACAGAACCAGACCCGGGCGTCGCCCTCAAAGAGCCAATAAACCACCATATACGGGTCCCTATAGGGCTTACCTGGTCCTATATGTTCAGTCGGGTTTGCGGGGCAAGAGCAATGAGGTACCGCAGCCTCGGCCTAGAGCAGGAGAGGGAACGGGGACGTTTTTAGTTAGTAAGAATTAGACACTCCATCCCGCCCGACCTTGGGCGGAGAAGTCATTAGATGATTTTCCCCCTGCAAAAAAAAATCCTAACAACCCCAACAAGGCCGGCAGCGCAATTATAACTCCTCCGATGTTACCAGTGTCCATAGATGGAGCCGGTTGCATCAGGTAATCATATGCTCGTTTGCGTCCCTATCCCATTAAAACCATAACAACATATTTAACTTTTTCAATAATAACAGTAAGTTTACATCCGTGAATTTCACAAAGCTATTTGATAATCTTTATCTAAAAATACATTTTACTTGGTAATGTCGAGTAGGCTTATTTTCATAGCCACTTTTATTGTAATGACTCATGAACAAACGCAAAAACGTACAGTTTAATGTACTTATCTATGTATCTTACCCAAAGTAGTCGTCTATATTTTATATCATTCAATTACATAGCATAGACAGAATTGAAAAAAATCACCAGATTACCAATCAAGCAATAATTTACCGAGGCCTCAGCCCTGAACAGGAAAGGTATGGTTTTTAGTAAAAGTCGGCAAAAAAAGTAATTTGGTTATATTACGCACTCAAAAAAAGTCTACAGAAAAATTGCCTTTGACATGATTTCCAGGACTGCTTGAGGATAGAAATTTAAAATATTTATCAGAAGTCGCTCTCCTGACCGTTTTCTATAATGTTTAGTTGCTTATTAGTCTTCAAGAACACTCACAAAAACAATACAACAAAGTTTCTTACACTGATATCTTATTTAGAACAAACTACAACTTTACAAATAGATGGGACTGTAAAGATTGCCTATATTTATAAAGAAACAAAAATAGTTGTATAAAATCGAAAGGAAAAATTAACATACGACTTACCAAAGGTCGAAAAAGGCAAATAACATACAGTCACTATTACTCCAATAAAACAAATCCTTAGGACTTTTCTGTGCACCTTTTGTTTATATGAGACAGCCGACTTGTTTTCTTATTTAGCTCGGTCGGGTTTACGAAAGAATTCGTACGAGACGACCTTCGGATAAAATCTCCTATCTCGGAGACGACTCGGTCCGTAATCCACAAACGTGAGCCCGGAGCCGCAGTGGATTAGTAGCTTTGCCTAAAGTACAGCTGTTCGCTTGGGACGCCATTGTTTGGTTCACAAATTCTCTTTAGTAAAATATTGTATGGGAAGAAAAGTTTGCGACGTGATAGTTCGTACTTTTCTAGTCCTATTGTTATAATTGTTGTTTTAAGAACACCAAAATTATTAAGACGAGGTTTTTCTATAAATCTATATCAAATCATACTCGGTATATAACAGGATTATTTGAACTTTAACCTGTTCTGTTTTATATTATCTGTTTATGTTGCTGTCAAACAAGTCAAATAATCCGACAGTTAGATTAACTAAAAGTTATTTAAGTTATCGTATCAAATGTACGGTTGGCAGTTGGCTGAGCAACGGGCTGCAGGGCAACATGTCGCGGATTCGATTCGTGGTCAACGCGTTGTGTGATTTGCAAATTGTTGTTTCGGGTCAGGGTTTCATGTTTGAGTAGTTAAGACACAGGCCAAAATCCTAGCGTGGGAGAAGGCTTTTTATTAAAAAATATTAAAAGAAATCAAATGTATACTTGAAAACATCTGCATTTTTTTCAAGGAATAGCAGACGCGAACGCCTTGTGATGTCAAGCAGTTCCCACATAAATATACAATTGGCCCGCTCTTTGAAACATCTGGCAATACTAAAGATCTGAGGCAAATATTTTATTTATTCCGTTTATCGATTATGAAACTATTCGAATGGCGATGAGATCCGAATGTTTCGAGTTCGGAATTGTGCCGGAGGGGAGCATATCGGAAGCGGATGGACTGAACTGAATTGTCGCTTGGTTTGGCAGGAAGTTGATATTTTCATATACGTATACATATATCCGTAGGCTTGTTCTGGATTCAGCTCGTGTGCTTCAATATTTCATAGTTTAGGGAGATTTAGGTTAATTGCAAGAATATCTTAGTACGGATCTTTTATCCTTATCAGAAGAATAGTTTCATATTTTTCTGATAAACCATCACTATTCAATTAAATCTGGAACCCTAGAAACTAGAATTTAAATAAAAACAATAATGAACAATAGTTTTAATAGACAATGTAAATGTACGAGTCATTACCTAAGCAAATGTCCAAAAGACAAAATAAGCATTTCCCTAATGGACAGTTGAATTCATAATTGCGCCATTTTAGCGAGTTGCGCGGAATTCTGCACTCTCGCATTTTGAAATAGCCGGTGATATTACTGTTCCACATTTAATTCATAACGAATAGGATAAAAAACTAAAATCAATAAACAAGAAAAAGTATATTTATCGACAACCTGTATGCGAACCACGTTTTAAAAAATACTTCCAAAGGATTTGTTTAAGCTCATTAACAACATTGATTCTTCAATTCTATTAACTTTATTTCGGCTAATTTACTAATACAGTTTACCCATTATAATGTTCTATCAGCTTTCCCACCAGTTCATTAAACATTTGATTCACGAGACGTGAGCCGTGCAATTATGTCATGGCGGTGACATCATCGTTTGCTAGAGAAACCAGTGGAACGGCGTACTGGATCAAATCTAAGGTGTGAATCGAGGCCGAGTTAGTCTATAAATACCAAAAATTCGGATCCTTTTGTTGCTCTTATTGCGTGTTAACATCGCTTTAATGTATCCAAGGAGCGAATTTTAAGTGGTTCCAACTCGAAGCATATTATTATTACCTATTTCGTTCAGCAATTTACAAAGATCCGGAGCGGTATGATTCGGCTCCCATTTAGGAATTCTGTCCAAGGATTGTGACGCTATTTGCGAGGAGACTGACATTGCCCAAATCTGGGTGACTTTTACAAACGATAAAATAATGAAATTGGACACGTCCGAGATCCAAACACTAGTCTGATAGACTGACGTTTTCGTAAATTGGTTTCGTGACAAAATATTCGGAAGGATAATAAAAAAACTAATAGCTTTTTTGTCATTTTTGGTCAACTCCTATTGCTTACAGAAAATTACAGCCTTTCACAAGCCTAAAAATATCCATTTCATTCCGAAATCAAAAAGAACAAGAAAACCAATCGCTCATTCATAGGTTCAATCGTGAATTCTTATCAAATTCCAAGCACGGGAATGAAAAGATCGGAGTCTCTTTGCTTTGCGTGATAAAGCCGTGTTTCAATATAAAGATGGCCGCATATGGGTCAAGGTGACACTTTTCGGGAGCCCTGTTAGTGATGCGTTCCGCTCTCCGCTGGTCATTTCTTTGCCTTTGAATGGTTCTTTTACTCTTTCGAAATCCAAAATAGTCTTTTAAACCGTGTCACAATTTTGTAGCACTTTGGACTGAATATAGAGAGAATATAGTTTAAATGTCAGATAAACCTCTGTTTTAATCATAAAATGAGATCACTCCCACATTAAACCATGAAGTATAAGGTAGTTTTTTAGGTTAAAGTAATGTAGTTTTGATAGAATCCCGAAAAACTAATGTTAAACAAAAAAAAGGTTTCACTCGAAAAGTTTTTTCTGATAATGGTAATGGATAACCCTAGGCTTTGCAGTTGAGGTAAAATTGGCTACTGTTAAAGAACATACAATATTTATTTCTCACAAACAAAATACCTTACTCACCTTCCAAACAGGAGAAGGAAACGGCGTCCATTTATTCGTACTGAATAATTTACCTTGCGTGGTAACTAGGTATAACGAAAGAGACGTCAGTCGAGGAAAACTGTCTAGAAACCAGTCATATGACACTATTAAAATTGTAAATGTAAACAATACGACGTTGCAAGTAACTAATGTTGGTGTTGGATATGAATAATAGAATGACGAGACCACCATTAAGGACATAGCTCACATTTGTAAAATGGAAATTTTAAGTGTGGGAGAGTCAAGCTTCGGCACTAATGGGTCGGCTCGAACGGAGAGATACCACGGCCATCATGAAACAACCATAGCGTTGTGTTTCGCCTTGTAAAAATCCTTGCCCAAATCAAAAGTCAAAAAGTCAAAAGTCAAAATCA